CCAAGCCTTGCGGTGTAGGTCTTGGCTCCCTTCGAGTTCGTGTCCATGCCGGCCTTTGCCAACCGCCGCACGGAAATCAGGTTTGCAGCAAGGCTGGGCACCCAAAGCACGTTCTTGAGGCCCACCATCTTCCCATCAGCACCCTTGAACATGGCCTTGCCCATGCCTTTCACCTCTGCTCGCTGCCCCAAAGCCGATGTGACATGCTTCACCGGTGACGGCTCGAGTTCGGTGAGCAAGTCCGGGCGAGGTGTCATGCTATAGGTAGCGCCACTATCAATCACCCAATAGTCCAGGGGGTGTAGGGTCACCTTCCCCACAGCTGCTGGCTCCTCAAAGCCTTCATCCTTATCTGGACCAGCCGGTACTTGCGTCGACACGAAGTAGAATAGACCCGGGTATCGATCGTCGCTCGGGTCCTTGTCGTTGTCTCCGCTCTTCATGTTTGCAGCTCCGCCACCGCGACCGCCACGGCCTCCACGGCCTCGTCCTCTCCCTCCTCCTGCTCCTCTACCCTCTTGGCCTTGAGCAGGGGTCCAACCATCAGGGAGTTTGTAGCAGTCGCGCCACATGTGTCCGCTCTTGTGGCAATAGTGACACTCGCCGTCGAATCGGCCGCGACCGCGTCCGTAGCTCTTGTCGTCGCTGCCGTAACCGCCACTCCTGCGGCCTCCGCCGAAGTTGCTGCCTCCAAACCTTCCTCCCCCTCGTCCTCTGCCTCTTCCTCGACCATATCCACGGCCGATGCTCGCTGCCCCAGCGCCATCCGCACTCGCCAACTCACGGCGGCGGAAATCCTCTTGAAGGATAGCTCGCTTCACGTCTTCAAGCGAGAGGCGGGGCAAGTCGCGATTAAGGTTGATGATGAGCGAGGACCATGACTCTGGGAGTAAGGCCAGCAACTTGGTCTTCTTTTGGAGCTCACTGTAGTTCAAATCAGCTCCCTCAAGCCGCGTCAACAAGTCGAAGAATTTCTGCACCCCTTCTTCAACCGCTTCGTTTTCTTCAATTCGTAGTGCCGCCATTTGCCGTTCCAACACCACCGCTACCGCCGCTGTTGCAGGAGCATGTACACCCTTGAGAGCAGCCCATGCCTTTGGTCCTTTCTCTGGTTCACGCTGGAATGGCTTGATGTGACGGATCTGACTGCTCCCCAACGCTTGCCCAAGTAAGAGATATCCTTGTGCGCTCTTCCGCACCCACGGGCTCTTCTCCGGGTCGTTCTCGGGGCGCTTCTCCGTTCCTTCCATCACCTCCAGCAGGTCATAGTGGTCAAAGATGTTCTCCATCTTGAAGGACCATTCAGCAAAGTTGTCACCGTTGAACTTGTCAAGCCCAAACACCCTAGGCTCATCCCTAGGTGGGCCAAGACTTGGTTGCATGGGCGCCATGGCTGAATCACGGGGTTGGCCTTGAGCTTGGGCTTCTCCACTGCCACCAGCAACTCTGCCACCCCTTTCCTCAGGTCCATCCATTGTCGAAACTGCTCCAAGGGCCTCTGATACCACTTGTTATAGTCACAATAGCCTTGAATGTGCCTAAAACGAAAGATAGAGTGCACAGACGGATTTCTGCACAGCGGCTTCAAACGTTGATAGCGTTCTGCTCACAGCTGCAAATGACTTGATTCAAATTGGATCTGGAGCGTCTTGACGTCGCCTACAATAAGCAATTTAGATTGCACGATTTCATAAAGAATTGACGACACAGCGTCGGTTTGAACGAACGGTACTATGGCAGCCACTATAGTCTTAGAACACAAGATAGGAAGAGTTACGAGTTGGGAATGACTCCCAGCTCCTACAAACCCCAAGAGCCGAGGTACAGTGATGTGGAACAGTGCCACACTGTCCCCAACCACGAAGGGTCTCGAAACTACCCTCCACAAGGGCCTACACCAAGAGAAATGTTACACTACACAAAGTAATGCAACTATTCTCACTATCTTAAAGTTTACCCTTTTGGAGAGCTTCGAAATAACTTGAATCTTGAAACCAAGGCTCTGGTTCTTCAAGGTAAATTCTTCCTTGAGTTCTTGGAAGTCTGCTGCGCACACCTGCGACACGCCGAACGTTCCACACACGACAAAATAGAAAACCGCACACGACACGCAAACGACGACGTGACACGCGACTAGCGATAACTCGCTATTGACTCGACGCACACATTCAAAACCATGCTTCATCATACACACACTATTGTAAACATGAAATATATATTATTTCATGCCCTCATACCATTCCATGCACACACGCATGCACGCACACGGACAACAAGCCGAATGCAAACCGTAGGGTTGCACCAACATGCTCGATGCGTTGCTCTCATACGGGGGAACGGGGGAGGGAGGAACGGGGGGAGGGGCGCCTCTAGCTGGCTGACGATAACCCTAGTGTGTAGGGTACCGGTAAGTAATTAGGCCTAGGAACTAAATAGCATGATACCATCAAAGAGTAGGTAGAGGCATGATCGATAATAGGAAGGGAACTACAAATAGTGATGTCGAGAAGGTTAGCTACACTCTACTGTGTACCTCAACAATATAGAGTAACATTCATATTTGTTATTTGACAGACCGCAAAGGCATTTATCCAAATGCTTACAGTAATGTTTCTCCCATTAGGATGGCAAATCAAAAATACTAAAATATACCCTCCATCCCCGTATTACCTACCCCAGGTCGTCAAACTAGGGAAATATTTATCCAGGGGAAAACCTGGGAGCACCAGCAGGGCTCACGTTTGGTTTTTACCAACCCTTACGATCAGTCTACCACATGTTCAAAAACCTGATTTTCAGGGTTACCCTTCGTGGGAAACCTGATGCGCCAGGGTTTTTGCATGTATTACAAACGACTACACTGAGGCATCAGTGTACAATATTGAAAAACCCTGTTGAAGTTGTTATTTAACACAGCACACAATAACAGACTTAATCACCATCGTCAGACACGCCACACGGTTGATTCTCGTTGTCACTGTCCTCCTCTGGCTCCGGCACTTTCTCCTTGCCTTTTCGTTCCGCTGGGGTCGGCAGGGCCACTGTTTTCGCTGGACGTCTTGTTTTCTGCTTGCGCCAGATGTCTACCACGTCAGGCCACACGTAGGGGTACTTCAGCATGTGCAGCGTCATGAGGTCGCCAAGGCGAGCATCGCCAAGGGATGTGCGCATCCACGATTTGATGATGTTTTGGCGACTGAAGCCCCTCTCACACTCAACTGTGCTCAGTGGGAGCACAGCGAGTGCCTGCCACATCGTCATCAAGTTCGGATAACTGCGATGCCAGTCTCTGCTTTTCATCATGCTCTGCAGGCCCTGGTGGAAATCGTCGCGATCGTGATGACGTGCCAGAAGCTGACAGAAGCTCTTGAGTTCTTTCTTCGCCGCCTTGAGCTGGAAACCTGACGTGGACGGGAAGAGGGGGGAGCACGGGTGGGTGGTTTTGTTTGGTTTTTTTCAGATGACAACATGCACATGGCAATCCGATAGGCTGGCATGCGTGGCTTACAAACTCACCCGGCAGCATGCCGCCGAAAAGCTCGTCGTTTTGAAGCAACCAATCCAGGCACTTGATCTCCCGCTGTTCGTCCCTGGACGGCCACGCTTCCACCTGAAACAGCTTCGCGCCGCCCATTTGCTGCAAGTCCCACATGCGAAACTTCATCCGCGCCACGATTTCCTTCGCGAACCCCGTGCACAGCTTCTCACAGTCAGCGCGCGTGCCACCAAACTTGTGCTTCTTGATTGGTTCCTCGCTCAGCTCAAATCGATGAGATGTCGGCCGCCCCTCGCTGTCAATCCCCTCCACCACCACCGTGCGATTATCCCCGCCGTGGTCCTTGATGAATCTAGACAGCAACTTGCTGACGCCGCCACCAAAAGTATCCCCGTACACGATGTACTGGTCCGTTATGATGGCGATCGTACGGTCCACTTCCTTCGCCACTTGGGTGATGTCGACCTGGGGAACATTGAAACAACATTTGGGTTAGTTTCAAGCCTGTAGTGTCACGGGCGGGTGTATTGAACGTGCATGATAACTTGCCTTTCGGTGCTGGAAAAATCGGTTCAGGGCGTTCAGCTCTGTAAGAATGTCAGCCAGGAAGTACAGGCAGAAGTGAAATTTAAATGTCTGCACTGTGGCTGCAATCTTGTGGCCATACTCCACAATCATGACTATAGCTGCCCCGAAAACACGACACAGCCGTGCTATTGCGTCACCCCGCGACAGCCACCGGACGTTGAACAGCCCTTGGTGTTCCAGGTTGGTGCGATGAATCTCCTGCTGCAACTCCTTGAACCTCTCGTACCAGATGCTTGAGCGACAGATAATTTCCCCCACTGCTCGCACTCCCGCATCGATCATGTTGAGGTCGGGGAATTTTTTAGCAGCATCTTTTACGACCAGCGCCTCTCTGCAACAAATTAGTAACGAGAGGGGAAAACGTTAACAACTGTGGGCAACAGGATTACAACTAGGAGAAACCATGTTACAGACATCCAGTGAGAAAACGAGACATTACCGATGCGCAACGCAGTGACAGCCGACTAGATGCGGAACGCGTTCTCTCATCCGGACAACCAGACCACCCTTATCGCCAGTCATGACAGAAGCCCCGTCGGTGCCGACGCCGGACACGCGCTGCATGTCGACGCCGATAGACTCCAAGTGGCTTATCAGCACGGTGTAGAGCGATGACGCGTCGCACTTCTGCACCGAGAGCAGCACCAAGAATTCTGTCACGGAGACGCCATTCTTGAGGAAGGTGGCAAACACTATCAAGTGTTTGCCACGCGCGCGGTCGGTGCTCTCGTCACAAGTCAGCCCGATGAACGGGGAGGCGAGTAGATGCTGCAGCTGCTGAGTTCGTTGGTACTTTGCCATAGCCGACGCCATTTCGTTGAAGCCGTACCTGCCAAACGTAGCGGGTTGGTGTCAGCAGGTTTGTTAAGATAGAGAAACAAGGGAAGATGTACACGCAACAAGGTAACGACTCGACTTACTGTGAGATGTAGACACCGTATGACTTCAACGGAATGCCTTCAACTCCCTCTTCGGCCATGAACTGTACGAGCTGAGGGAACATGGCGATTGGAGCGTCGTGGGTGCAGATGAAGTCTACGGCCCGCATGAGACGAGTCAGCCGCGCACCCTCCTTGTCGGCGTTTGCAAAGACGTCCAACCGCTTCTGCGTCTCGATCTCCGCCATAAGCGTCCGCTGCTTCCTCAACGCATCGTCGTGGCGAACGCTCAGCTCGTGACAGCGCATAGAGCCAGGTTGAAGATCCCGCCCCCCCGGCCCGTTGCGCCCAAATCTCGCATCGTCTTTCCCGTGCTCCACACATACGCTGCATCGCAAGACTGGCAACCCGTCCTCGTTCTTGTCAAGCAGCAACCACTCAAACTTGGGTAGCCAATGCGTGATGTACAGCTGCAGCGCCTTGTCGAACTTCGCCTCGGCCTTTTCGTCATCGGTGAGAACACGAGACACCCGCGGGGGATGTTTGTTGGGCGCCGGTGATGGAGTCGGCTTCTGAGGGGGCGTGCCGAACGGGAGCGCGGTTTGAGCAAATCGGCGTTTTTTCCGTGCGGCGGCAGACGAAGACTCGCCCACCTCCGTCACGCTGACGGTGGCGGGAGCACTCTCGGGCTCACCGCCAGATGTACCAGGTGGACGAGCAGGCGGTTGTTTTTCGCCGGTGCTCGATGGTGGGCCTGCAGTGCTGACGGGCGGAGGGTTCTGATGCAGCCGTCTGAGAAAATCTAAGCCCCTCATCGCTGGAGCGTCACTAGGTGGCTCGTCAGCAGCTTCACCTGCGTCATCGTCTGCTGTGGGAGCCATGGCTGCGAACGGGTGTGTTAGGCCAACAAATAGCAAGCTCAGTAGAAAAAGCACAATCGTGAGAGACGCCTCTCAACAAGACCACTCCACCACCGTGCTGGTGCCCCCAATCCCCTGCGCAGTCATGTCCTATCGTGCTGGCAAAGGGAGCAGATGTGCCACCCACAGTAGAACACAACACGCGGTGCATAGGGTGCAAGTGGGCCTTGTTGTTGTGCTGCAGCAACCCAGGTATCCTGCCAAACCTGTAATGCTGGCATGTCAGACAACAAGACCAACTAGTTACATTGATGATTCTTCAAAAGAAACTGTAATTCTGGCCAATGGTGTCCCACCTCGTTCCAGCGCACGTCAAGTCCTGCCGAAATCTACATTTTCGACAGTTGGCGTAGGTAAAATCCAGGTTTCGGGGTCGGGTGGTTAGGGGACGGGGGGGGGGGGGGGGGGGGGGGGTGTGGGTTCGCTGGTACGCGCTTCAGGGTAAACCTCGATACGCGGATAGGCAACCCTGAGGCGACAGTGTTCCTTAAACGTAAAGCCTGGCACATCAGGGTACATTCAGGTCCCTAAAAAATTACCCAACAGCATCAGTGTTACATCCAAAAAGCACCCTTGTAGTCAGGGCATCAGGGTGATTTACACTGATAACGTGAGCCCTGAGCACCAGCCTTGCAAATATTCGTTCTCTTGAAAGACCAGCACGGTGAAATCAAGCTTAAATGGCAGTGCACAATTACGAGCAGCTATATTTCACAACTAGCTTTAACCAAGACTGCTAAGGCATAGAGATGGGAGCCTCTCATTCCTGGCTCTGATCTTCAGGCAGGTGGGTGTGATCCTGAGAGCGCTCCCGCACCCACCCCCACCAAAGCCAGAGCGCTTGAAGGCCTCCAGTCTGCATGGGATGCCACTTCACTGCAGCTGCCCCACACACCCCGCCCCATAACACCCTCGTTGCCCCCATCACCACTACCCTCCCCAACGTGCGACCCCCTCATCTTCGCCACACGCCCCCCACCATCCTGCCCCCTCTCTTCCACCCTCTTTCCTGCCACCGCCACAGCACCACGCTGCATGCAATGCGCGCCAGCCAGCCCGTCCACGCCATGCAGCCACGGCGTGCACGCCTGCATGTCATCCAGTGGCAGCCCGTCAGCACTGCCCATCGCAGCAGCCCCATGTGAACCACTTGCATCTCCCCATACCGCCTCCAGCGCCTCTGCAGCATCGTCCACGCCCGTGCCCGTGCCCGTGCCCATCGCTACACAGCAGGCGCCAAGGGCGGCGCTGGGCGTGGGGGGAGCGCTGGAGGCGCCTGTGCCGCCACCCGCCACAGCCGCCAGGTCGCCCGCCAGCATGCGCCCATGCCGCTGCTCCGGGTCGCTCAGGTACACGGGTCCCCCTTCCGCCCTCCCCCCCGCCCCCTCATCCGCACGGCCCCCACCGTCGCCCATGGGCCATACTGAGTCGTCTTCAGCCATGCTGCTTTCTGCCTTCTCCCCTTCGCCCCCCACCCGCTTACCCGCCTGTCCTTCCTGCGCCCGCTCCTGCCATTGCCTCGGGCCATCCACGCACCCCTTCTTCTCCACGCCAACAACCCTCGGCCTGCCTCGCGGCCTCCCTGTCGGCCCCTTGCTCTTCCGCCCCCTGCCGCTCGCCCCCATTCCGGCACCGCCGCCCAACGGTCCCTCGTCGCCCCCTGTCCGCTGCGCGCTGCCATGCATCCCCGCCCTCGCTGCTGCAGGGCGGCCAGGACCACCACCGCCCGCGGGTTCGATGGCGCGGCGAGCGCTACACGCGCTCATCCGCCAGGCCTCCGTCTCGCCCTCGCAGCGCTGCTCGCTGCTGCCATCCCCCGCACGGCCCGCTCTCCGCCACTCCGCCGCCTCGTTGTCCTTGAACTGAACCACAGCGGGACCGTCCTTGACCTTGTCGCGCCCAACCTCGCCTCGCTCTCCCCATGCCGCCGCCTCCATTTCGCCGCTCCCGACGCGGGCTTTCTCGGCATCTGCAGGCGACGCAGAGGGGGTTGCGGGCGCGCGCGGAGTTGAGGCGGGGGATGGAGGACGAGCGGCGGGCGTAATGCGAATCAAGGGCGGAGCGTGCGTCGGAGTGAGCGCGGCGAGCGATCCCTTCTTGCCGCTGCCCTTGGGCCGCCCTCGCTTCCTCTTCACCACCACCTCTCCCCCCTCCCCCGGTTCCTCCGCTCGCACCACGACGCCGCCGCCCACGGCGTGAGTTCCTGCGCTCGGCGCGCAGCCCGCAACGACAGCTGCCGCCTGCGACGCCTGGGCGGGAAGAGAGCCCTCGTCCCCGCCAGCCAGCGAATACGGGGCGACGGGCCGAACGGCAGAGTGCAGTTGGCCGCCACCATTGGCTGGCCGCGCGCCGTTCCTCCGTCCGTCGCAGATGGGCGACGTAAACGAGCGACGTGCGAGAAGCGCAGCAGCAGGCGGAGCGGAACAGTCATCAGCCGCGGCAACAGCGGCGGCGCCATCGTCATCGTCGTCCGCGAGGACCACTGTGGCGAGTCCCGCCTGCCGTCGCCCGTCGTACCAGCTTCCCGCGCACTCGTCTGCGGCTTGCGCGGCATCTGGCACGCAGGGCTGCGCGGAGCAGCGGAGCCACGTGAAGGCGGAGTCGAGAACCGCCAGCACCTCCGCCTCTCGCGCATCTAGCACCGCGCGCAGCCGCGCCATCCGCTCCAGCTCGCGCTGCACCGCCGCGCGCCTCCCGGGGCCAGACGCAGCGGCGGGTGTCACGGAGGAGGAGGGAGCGCGGGGTAAAGGAGGGGCCGGCAAGGACCCTTTGCGACAGGGCGCGGCAGTGTCATCCGGATCGTCGCTGTCCCCGTCGTCGCGACTCAAGTGCGGCGGCGACGCGGAGGCGCGCCAGCGGAAATGGCCGTCCATGACTGGCAGTAGCCAGAAGACGCAGAGGCAAGCGTGGAAGGAGATTGGGAAGCGCAGCAGGCTACGCAGGGCAAGTTTGGAAATAGTTTCGCTGCCGTCGTTGGCTGGAGAAGCTGAAATGGGAGCAGAGAGCAGAAATGCCTCGTTCGCAACGCCAACAGCAGCAATGACCACGCCTCTCAGTTGATGGGCGCACATTTCCAACTTCCAAGTCGCGCGCGCCATGCCATGCGCTCGCACGCCACAGTTGGCCTCGAACGGGGGAGCAGCATGCCGCCCCTCCGCGACACACTGTGCTGGATGGAGGAATCGTGAGGGGGGTGCCCCGTCAGCAGCTGCCCTCGCAGCATCAGCGTCAGCTTCGGCGATCGCCTCAGGCTCGGCACAAGCGTGTGAGACTGACTTGAACGTCGGGGATTGGGTTATGCGCGCCAAGAATGAAGCTCGGCAGCCAATGGGTACGTTTGTTGACGGGTGACCTGGCGATGCTTCAGCGAAAGAGATTTTGAATTGAGCTACTTCATTTCATTCAAATTATCACCCATTACAGAACAGACTTGTAAGTGTAGCAGCAGCCTTACAATGGGAACTCGAAACTGTGATATACGTGTTTTATTGACATTCACCCATCTCTCACCGCAACAGCTGCACCACAATCCAAGAAGGGGGACAGGCTCTATCCCATTCCACATTCCGCAGCGATCACCGCGCACCGCATCGCATCGCAACAGTCCGCCGCCATTATCCGCCAGCCGCCATGACCGCCGCCTCCATCTCCGCCTGCAGCGAATGCCTTCTCCCACGCCGCCCTCTCGGCCCTCACGCGCCTCCGCGCCGCAGCGCCCACGCCAAGCCGTTCCCCAGACCCGCGTTCACCCCGTCCCTGCCCGCCAGCCTCCTCTCGAATCCCCGTGCCGTCTGCCGACCGCCGCGCGCTGACCGTGCTGCCGCACCGCGCGCGCAATTATCGTCGCACGACGATCTCGAGGGACGACAGCAGCGCGACACGTGTCTATCCCGCCGGGACGCCCTCCTCTCCCTCGCGCTGCTCCCCCCCTCCCTCTCCGCCGCGGCGCTCCTCTCCCCGTCACCGTCGCTCGCCGCGTCGCCGGCGGCCCCCGACACGACGGTGACGCACCGCGCGTTCCTCGACTTCGCCGTGTGTCCGACGGCCGTGCGCCTCGACCGCACGCTGGGCGACGACGCGCTCATCTGCGCCGACGGCGAGCCGCTCGGGCGCGTCGTGCTGGGGCTCTACGGGCGCGCGGCGCCCGACACGGTGGCGCAGTTCGTGCGCATGGTGGCGGGCGACGCGGGGTCGACGTACAGGGGGAGCGTGATCCACCGCTCGCTGCCCGGGCAGTACGTGCAGGCGGGGCATCAGGGGCAGGTGGCGCGCGGGGACGTGGCTCCGCCGACGCTGCTTCCGCCGAACCGCGACACGGTGGCGGTGGCGTCGTTCGCGCTGAGCCACCTGCGGCCCGGCACGCTGTCGCTGTGCGTGGGGGAGAACAACGACGACGAGCGCGCGCGCGCCCGCAGCAACTACCGCAACGTGGAGTTCCTCATCACCACGGGTGGGGGGAGAGGGCGGGAGGTGGGGGGGAGGAAAGGGAAACGCCCTATAGGGGGGTGAGAGGGTGGGAAGAGAGGGGGAGGGGGGGGAAGCTGGGGAAGTGGGGGCGGGGAGGGGGAGGAAGAGAAGGGGAGGGGAAGAGGGAAAGAGCATGTTTTATGCTCAACCACCGCTGCCCATGCCCCATGCGCACCAACCCATCCCCATGCTGCCTCCCTTCGCCCATGTGGGCACCCATATCACCGTCCAAGTCCTCATCCCCATTTCCGCACTTGATGGCCGAGTGGCCAGCAGGTCGTTGTGTGTAGCCTTGGTGGTGCACGTGCCTGCATGCTCGGCAATCATCCGTTCCTTGCTCGTCGCTCTCTTCGTCCCTTTCATCGCCGCCCTCAACTGCTGCCTCCTTCCCTCATTGGCCACCCCTTTCCCCTGCACGCCCTATCCTCTCCACTCTGCTCCGCGGCCTACCTGTTGTGAAGCACACGCCTTCCCCCTCACGTTCTGCCCCCTCGTCTCAAAGCCCTTCCCTTGTCATCTGTCACCGGCTTTCCCCCATCAGGCCTGCGTCCCGCGACTCAGCTCCACACGGACTCCGTGTTTAAGACATGTTACAGCCCCGCTGCCTCCTCAGATTCTCTCTTTCTTCCCCCGTCCCCCTTTCCTCCCCTCCCCCCACCAGGCCCTGGCCCGGCCACGCAGCTGGACGGCGACAACATCGTCTTCGGCACCGTGCTGGAAGGTGAGCGCGCTGCATGCATGGGGCGCGGGGTTCTGGGTTCAAGGTGAGGGGACTACCGGGATATGAAGCGCATGCTGGGAGGGGTGGGTGGGGATGGCGGGGGTGGGAGAGAGCGGCGGCTGGGTGTGAGGGCATAGCAGGGGCTGAGCGCATTCATGCCGCACCACCCCGTGCCTTCCGCTCCCTTCTCCCCATCCCACCTGCTTCCACTCCTGCCCTGCTTCCTCTGAATTCAACCTGATCATCTCTCCTCCTCCCCCCTCCATGCTCTCCTCCCCCCTCCATGCTCTCCTCCCCCCTCACCCCCATGCTCTTCTTCTCCCCCTCACCTCATGGCCCTTTGCATGCGCCCTGTGGGGGAGCACTGAGCAGGCATGGAGGTGGTGGCGGCGGTGGCAGCAGTGCCCACCTTCCAGCCCAGCGACCGCATCCGCCAGTTCAACGACTTCGCTGCGCTGCTGGGGGACGACCGCGCCGCCAAGGGCCGCGGCACGTGGAACCGCCCTCTTAAAGCCATCGTCATCCAGGACTGCGGGCTGCTGGAGTGACAAAGGCCGAGAGTGTTCTACTGGAGTGACAAGAGTGCAGGCGGGTGGAGGCCATTCCTTTCCCACTCATCCTCCGCCCTGACCCTTCCCCTGCCACCACTCTCCTCCTGCTCCCTCTGCCTCCCTCATGGAGGTCCACAATTTTGATGCATGGTGCTCGCTGCTGCTACCTGCTGCCTGCTACCTGCTGCCTGCTGCCTGCTGCCTGCTGCCTGCTGCCTGCTGCCTGCTGCCTGCTGCCTGCTGCCTGCTGCTTGCCTCTGCCTGGTGGGCGCACGACGGCGCAAGGGACCACCGGAGCTGCGTGCTGCCAGGACTGGTGGAAGCTATGGTATGCCTGCTGCACCCACCCCTCTATGCCTTGCACAAGTCATGTCACGTGTGGTACCAGTTTGTACATTCGATTTATGCTAGAAGTTTTTTGCAGTATTTATAAGACATGTGACTTAGAATAGTTATACATGAGATTTGGCAGTCCAATCTCAAACCTTTGCAAGATCAGTTCTGAGTACTAGGGAAGCATGCAGCCTAGGAAGCAGCAGATGAGACGGGCGGTGGTGCGGCGGGTGAGTCAACTGCTTTCTCCGCCTCCTTGTTCACCACCTGCCATGCCAGTGTGTAGAGGGTACAGAGGAGTACAGAGGAGCACAGAGGAGCAGAGAGGAGCACAGAGGAGCACAGAGGAGCAGAGAGGAGCAGAGAGGAGCAGAGAGGAGCAGAGAGGAGCAGAGAGGAGCAGAGAGGAGCAGAGAGGAGCACAGAGGAGCAGAGAGGAGCACAGAGGAGCACAGAGGAGCAGAAATGGGCACACGGAGAGAAGGGAGATGAGAGGCGAGGGCGTGGAAGCAAGGGTACTGATTGCTGATGTACGTGTGGCAGCATGCATGGGTGATGGGTGGAGGGGGTGCGGCACACATAGGATGGATGGGAGCATGGGTGCATGTGATGGCAGCGCGAGTGCATGCAGGAGGGAAAGGGGCACTAGGTCACAGACCTTGTTGTTGATGAGGTTGTGCAGCGCGATGATGGATCGCACCAGTGATGCGATAAAAGCAGTGTTTTGAGATGACTCAAAGGGTGCATGCAGGGGTGCATGCAGGGGTGCATGCAGGGGTGCATACAGGGGTGCATGCAGGGGTGCATGCAGGGGTGCATGCAGGGGTGCATGCAGGGGTGCATGCAGGGGTGCATGCAGGGGTGCATGCAGGGGTGCATGCAGGGGTGCATGCAGGGGTGCATGCAGGTGCGCATGTAGGGGTGCATGCAGGGGTGCAAGGGGCACTAGAGCGCTGACCTTGTTGTTGATGAGGTTGTGCAGCGCGATGATGGACCGCACCAGTGACGCCACGTACACCGCCAGTGTCATGTCGTTCGTGCGCACTGCCATGCCATGCCATCAGTGCCATGGGTGCCATGCCACGCCAACAGACAGGGAGGAGCAGGGCAGGAAACAAACGGGGCAATGAGTGAGGCACATATTCTCATGATGCGCACTGACTTTTGGGCAGTGTTGCGTGCAGTGCACTGCAGAGCAGTGAAGGGAGCGGAGAGAAATTACCAGCGAAGGCCTTGACGAGGTCGTCGACGTTGAGGTTGGGCAGGAGGTTGAAGGCGTCCTGCACGCCGTACAGGATGTCCGCCCGCAGGGGCAGCCGCCCTGCTGCCACCAGGTCCAGGTACGACCGCAGCTGCCTCAGCCGTGACTCCAGGCCCTTGAGCGCCACCAGCTTCGCACTCACCTGAGTGGGAGGAAAAAACACAGAGATGGGCGGGTGAGGGAGCACAAGGGGGCATGGAAGAGGATTCTTGAATCGACTCAAAAGCAGCCGCCCCGCCGCCACCAGGTCCAGATACGACCTCAGCTGTCGAAGGCGTGACTCCAGACCCTTGAGCGCCACCAGCTTGGCGCTCACCTGGGGGGTGCGAGGGAGACGAGGGGAGGTGGGCGGGTTGGGGAGCACAAGGGGGCATGGGGAGCATTCTTTAATTGACTTGAATCACTCACCTGGGAAGCGGGGGGGGAGGGGGGGTGTGGATGGCGAGGAGGAGGAGGGGGCACAAGAGAGCAGGGGGATATAAGGGAGCACGGCGAGCATGCAAACTAGCACAGTGTGCATAAGAAATATGTTACATGAATGAAGGAGCAGTGCATTGGCATGCGGCACACGAGTGCATGGCCACTGTGATTGCTGGAGTGCGCGTGGCAGGGCGGGCATGGATGCGCGCACCTCAGAGGCGAGCGTGGTGATGGTGGCGTCCTTCACATCCCGCAGCAGATGCTCCACGCCTGACAGGGGGGGCGAGGGGGCACGTGGCGACGGGGCCAGGGGCATGAGACACGAAGAAGGGCAGGGTATTGGGGGGGGAAACGGGGAGCAGACGACACACGAGGAGGAAAAGGCGGAGGTGACAAGGAGTTGCGCATACATCGCTATAATACCACCCCGCTGCCTTCCCACCCTCCGCAACCATCTGCACCATATAATCTATCCGCTCACCAATCTCCTCCGCCTCGTATGCGCCGATCTCCGATGAGATGTGCACAAACGCCTTCTGACTCTTCTGCGTGCCATCCTGCTCCATGCCACGCCATGCCATGCCATGTCACGCCACCCGATGCCATGCCATTCCACCATGCCATGCCATGCAAGATGACAACAACCATGTGGCAACGAATGAGCCATACAACACAGCGACCTGCTTGCAGCCATGCAGGGCAGTGCCATGCTCGCAACAGCACAACAAAGGGCTCACAAAGAAGTCCATACACTGCTTTGTGTGCAACGCCTCATCACCCCTCATCACCCCCTCGCCACGCCTCATCACTCCCCACCTCGCCTCAGCTACGCCACACGCCGCTACCCACCGCCGCGCACCTCCTTGACGTCCTCGACGGTGCAGTAGGCCTGCGAGGGGATGGCCAGCTCGCGCGGCTGCACGTCTATGATCACCAGCACTGGATCGCTGCAGTAGCTGTGGGAAGCAAGGGGGGGATACACGCATGGAAGCATAGGCGCATGGGTGGGGGGTTACATGGGCGCATGGGTAGGTGGATAGGTGGATGGTTGGATGGGTGGATGGATGGATGGGTGCACGGGTGGATGGATAGGTGCGTGGATGGGTGGATGGATGGGTGCATGTGTGCATGTGTGCATGTGTGCATGTGTGCATGTCTGCATGTCTGCATGTGTGCATGTGTGCATAAGTGGATGGGTGGATGTGTGGATGTGTGGTGGGTGGATGGGTGCATGTGTGTTTGATTGCATGGGTGGACGGGTGGGTGCATGGGCGCATGGCTGGCGCACTTGTAGAAGAGCTCCTGGATGTCGAGGTCGCTCTCGCGGATCTTGGGGCCCGTCGAGTACCACCCCACCACTCGCTCCTTCGCTGCTCGCACCGCACCGCACCGCATCGCAGGGAGTGGGGTGGGGTGGGGGGCACACATGCAGATGGGATGCACGAGGGCATATGATGGGTGAGTGTGAGGCGCATTCACGAACTGCGGGCGTGAAACAAGCAGCAGCTTGTGACGGGCGAGAACGAATAAGCCTCGTACAAGCCAGGTGCGAGTGGGCGTCGGGCAAGTGATGCGCGGGGAACGAGCGTGGAGCGGGGCAGCAGGGCGGCAGGGCGGCGCACCGTTGATTTTCTTGAACATGGAGAACATGGCCTCGTGGTAGTTGTGATCCAAAAACCAGATGCTCGCGTCCTTGTCGTCCTCCTCGAACGGCACTGCGCGCACACCATCCAGCCACGCATCATGCACGCACGCAGCAGCACGCAGCATCGTGTAGCACCAGAGGGCAGGTATAGAGTAGGCCATAAAGTTGAGGGACGCAACGGCAGTGCACGAGTTGCAGCGACTGAGAGCACGCTGACACGGAAGCTAGCGCAAGCGCAGCTGATCAAATCATGCTGATCGATCACGCTGATCCCCCACATCCACGCCTGACAGCTCTCGCAGGCACCTTCAAATCCACTCCTGAATACTCTCCCCCGCCGCAACCCACTCCTGAATAACCTTTCTCGCCGCGACCCGCTCAACCCTAACCTGCGTAGCTGTTAGTAACGTCGATGCGGCCGCGCGCCGTCTCGCCGAGCAGCACGCCGAGCACGCGCTTGTGCGTGTCCTTGGCGACGCGGTTGTAATGGTCCACGATGCTCAGCAGCACCAGCGGATGCACCACCACCTTCTCGATCGCCAAAGCCTTCCCCATGCTGAACGCGCGCTCGCTCGCTCGCTTTTATCGCGACGACGACGAATTTATTGGAGTGCGAAATTAGGCAACGAGATTGACGCGCGGGTCGTGGAGATCGCGAGGGAATCGAGCGTGAGTCGCGGGATCCAGACGAGAGAAGCGACGGGAGAGGGGATTTTTGTCTGACGAAGCGGCACTCGCAGGCGACGCTGATAAATCGAGATTCGAGAGACGAGCGATGTGATGGGACTGAGGGGAAGGAGAGCTGGAGAGTCGTGAGCAGTTTGGGTGAATGAGGTGTACGCGATAGAAGCGACTCTTGAATCAATCTACCCGTCTTGCTCCACCATTTTATGCATTCTCGTAATAAAGTGAGTCGGTTTGAGGGATTTCTTCTTCCCTTGGGAACTGGTATGGTAATATTACGAGTCTCGCGAGAATCACTCACCGTCGCCCAACCTATTTTCAGGAGTTCCCTGGATTTCAGCCTCCTGCATGCCACATCCTCCACCTCCATCATCCCACTTCATTATTATCACTTTCGCCCGTCAGCCTCTTCATGACTTCATTATCCAGTTTTTAGTTACGATTATCTAGTCGTGCTCGTCATTCCCTTTTTCCCCGTCGCCGCGCACCCGCCATGCGCCAGTCGCCGGGAATGTGCCCATCGCGGGCACATCCACTCACGCCGCCGCATCCCCTCACGACGGCAAACCCCCTAACGACGGCACATTAGATTCGTTCACGAGAATCTTCCAGCAGCTCCCGTTTTTCCGCCATGGCGCTGTGGCGGATCCAGGCGGTGCTGGGGACGACGCTCGCGCTGGCGGTGGGGTCGTTCAACGCGGGGAGCGTGGCGACGATGGCGGAGGCGGGGTCGCAGTTCGGCGCGCAGCTCGCGTGGGCCTTCGCCTTCGCGCACGGGCTCGCGCTGCTGCTCAACCTCCTCGCCATGCGCGTCGCCTTCGCCACGCGCCAGTCGCTGCCGCTCGTGAGCCTCGCGCCGCCGCGCTGCCTTATAAGAACTGTTTTAGGCTTTCCTGCCCTGATCCACGGGTTTCGTCGCTCCGCGCTTCATCGTCCGCCCGGCACGCTCTCCTCTCGCCTGCGAAGCTTTTTGCCAGTCAGATCCCGTCTTTCGCCGCATTGCCCGCTGCCAATCCTCCCCTTCACTGCTCCTTCCCCCCCCAACATCCCCTCCCTTCCGACCCACCCTCCCTGTCACTTCCCGCGTGACCACTTGCGCGGCGCGCAGGTGATTGTGCGCGAGTATCCGCGCGCGTTCTGCCGGCTGGTGTGGTTCATCTGCGAGGCGTCCGTGCTCTGGTTCGACCTCGTCACGGTACGTTCGCCACTCCCTGTTCCCATCCCCATCCGCATCCCCACCCTCACCCCCTTTCTCCATCCGCATCCCTATCGCCATCTCCCACTCACCTTCTCGCGTCCTTTCCGCTTGGCACACACACCACCCGACCTTCCACCGCAACACACACTCGCTGCACACCCCACACGCACCTCCTCCTTCCCACCCTTTCCCCCCGTTACCCCCCCATTCTCCCCACTGTTCCACACACCTCCCCCATCCCCCAGGTGCTAGGCAGCGCGGTGGCGCTACAGCAGCTGCTGGGGGTGCCGTTCAAGGCGGCGCTGCTGCTGCACGCTTCCTCCCGTCCCCCATCCTTCCCGTTCCCCCCGGCCGGCCCCCTCCCCCCTTTCTTCCCCCAGGTGTTGGGCAGCGCGGTGGCGCTACAGCAGCTGCTGGGGGTGCCCTTCAAGGCGGCGCTGCTGCTCGCCGCGGGCTCGGGCGTGCTGCTGCTCCAACTGCCCCTGCCGCAGGTGGGGGGACGGGGAAGGGGGTGAAATTGGGTGTGGGGAGAGCTGGTTTGCCTGCCTCCCTGCCTGCCAGTTTCTGCTTTGTGCATCCCAATGTGTGTGTGTCTGTGCGCGTCACTGTCGCTCCGTGCTGCTCCTCCCATTAGTCTCTCTCCCGCTTCTCCACTTCCTCTCACACCCTAACACTCCCTCTCGTTCTCCCTTCCACTCCTCTTCTCTCTCCCTGCCCCCTTGCACTTCCCCCCCCCAGGCGCACCAGGCGGTGTCAGCATGTGTGGCGTGCGCACTCCTCGCGCTCCTCTGCGCGGCTCGGCAGTGTCTCCTCGCGGGCCCCGCCTTCCTGCTCGCCTCCCTCTCACTCCCTCTCCCTTCCCCCCTCTCTCTCTTCCCCGCCCTCTCCCCCCCCTGACAGGCGCACCAGGCGGTGTCAGCATGTGTGGCGTGCGCACTCCTCGCGCTGCTCTGCGCGGCCCTGCAATCCCTCCTCGCGGGTCCCGCCTTCCTGCTCGCCTCGCTCTCAGCCGCGCTGCTGCCAGCAGTGCCGCCCGCCTCGCTGCACCTCGTGCTCGCCGCCATCGGCGCCCTCGCCCTGCCGCACCGCTTCCTGCTGCTCTCCGCGCTCGTGGTGCAGGTGCGTTGTGTTCCCTCATGCGCACTTCTCGCCATCTAGGCGCCTCCTTTCTCCCACATATCAACGCCCATGCCCCCACAGCAGTCGCCCTCCCAACGCGAAACGCCCATGCATGTTAAGCACGCGCCTTGCCTTCCCCCCCCGCTCCTCCCCTCCCTCTCTCGGCCACCCACCCCCCAGGACGACCCAAGCGCGCGCGATCTCATGGAACCGCCACCTGACCCGCCATCCTCCCCTCGTGACACCTCCGCCTCCGCCTTCCACCCCTCCACCACCCATCCCCTCGCCCCCGCGTCCCCCTCCTCCGCCTCCCTCTCCCCCTCAGCCCCCCTCCACCCGCCGTCCCCCCAGCAGCAGCAGTACCGCCGCGACTTCATTCGCTCCCAGCTGCTCGCCGCTGCCGCCACGCTCGCGCTGCTCCTGGGGGCCTCTGCTGTAGGCCAGGGCACGGGGGCGGACGGGGGCGGGGCAGGCGGACAGGAAGATGGAGAGGGGTTTGAAGGGGTGGAGGGGGGCGGGGAGGGGCGGGTGGTGCGGCTGTGGGGCGTGTACCGGCTGGTAGAGCAGGTGGTGAACGGCAACGTGGCTCCCACCTTCACCTCCCTCGCTCTCCTCTCCTCCTTCCACCTCTCCACCCCAACCAATGCCTACGCAGGCCAGCTCTCCGCCTCCACCTTCGCCCACGTGCACCTGCGCCCCTGGCACCGCTTCCTCCTCACCCGCGCCCTCACCCTCCCGCTCCTGCTCCTCCTCTCCCTCACTCTCGGCGACGGCGCAACTCTCTCCCTCCTCTCGCACTCCCAGCTCCTTCTAGCCCTCCTCCTCCCGCTTGCAGCCGTCCCCCTGGTGCGTCTGGCGGCGTCCCCCGCGCTCATGGGGCGCCACCGCGTTGGGCCCGCGCTGGAGCTCGTCAGCTGGGCGGCGTGCCTCTCTGCCTGCGCCCTCTCTGTGTGGTTCCTCGGGGATGCACTGCTGCGCTTTGCCACGGCAGAGGCCGTCGCAGGGGGGGCAGACGGGGATGATATCGGGGGAATGGGGCTGTGGGACTGGGTGGTCGCGGGGGAGTTTTTGTCTGCGGGGGAAGGGGAGGAGGACGACGGGGAGGGGCTGGCGGTGGGGCTGTCGCCGTCCGCTGTGTGGCGCAACGTTCGGCAGCTAGTGGCGGTGTTTGGCGGGACGGCGCTGGTGGGCGGCATGGTGGGCGGGCTGCTTTGGCTGATGCTGCTGCCGCTACGGTCGGAGGACGAGCAGCAGCGCCGATTGCTGCTCTCCCACTCCGCCTCCGCCTCCCTCTCCGCGCCCTCCCCCTCCTCCGCCTCCGCCCCCACCTCTCTCCGCCGCCCCCGCCCCCTGCCACTGGCAGCAGCGCAGGACAGGCGGGGCGGGGAGGCGCGGTGGGGGGCGGAAAGAGAGGGCAGGGCGGGCGCGGGGGGAACATGGGAGCTGCCCCGCCCCTCCGCGTCCCCTGTGTCTGGGCCGCTGCCAGTGTTGCTGCCTGGCGCGGAGAGAGGGGGGGAGAGGGCGGGGGAGAAGGGGGAGGGCGCGGAGGGGGGGTCGTGGAACAGTGCTCTGAGGAGGCGCGTGGGGGGGCAGCAGCGGCAGCATGGGGGGGACAGGGGGGAGGTGGGGGAGGGCGTGAGGGGTGTGGTATCAGAGGGGGTGGGTGGGTATGGTAGCAGCAGTGGCAGTGGCGGTGGCGGTATGGGTGGAGTGGGAGCGGGAGTGGGTGGGGAGCGCATGCGAGTGCAGCGAGCAGCGTCGGTGTCGGGGTGTGTGGCGGAGAGGGAGGTGGGCGGAGGAATGGGCGCAGGTGTGGGCGCAGGTGTGGGCGCAGGTGTGGGCGTGCAGGGGGGAAGTGGCAGGGAGGCGGAGAGGGGCAGGCAGGGGGCGGGGAGAGCCAGCATGCTGTCAGCGGCAGGTGGCGAGCAGTGGCAGGTGAAGGAGGGGGGGGCGCAGCTACAAGCAGGCCGGCTTGGTGGGGAGGAGCTCGCTGTCTCCGTGCGTGCCGTGGCAGCCGCAGCAACGGCCACAGCAGCAGCAGGCGCAGCCGCAACAGGTGCGGGAGCGGCAGCAGCAGCAGCTGTTGCTGCAGGTGGGAAGGCAGGGGAGGAGAGGAGGGGAGAGGGCGAAAAGGGTGTGGTAGGGGGAGAGGCGGTGTTGGCACCAGGTTTTGAGGCGCCTCAACAAGCGGTGCTGGCACCGGGAGTGGCGGGTGAAGGGCGTGTAGGCGACCCTGTGCTGCCTGCCCCTGCACCGGTTGTACCGTCACCAATTGCCCCCGCCCCGGTTGCAGCTGCACTGGTTGCACCTGTACCGGTTGCACCCGCACCGATTTCATCTGTTGAGAAGGTTTCATCTGTTGAGAAGGTTTCATCTGCTGAAACGGTTTTATCCACTGACATGGTTTCGCCTGCTGAGAAGGTTCCATCTGCTGAGAAGGCTTCGTGTGCTGACAGGGAGGGGGTGATGCGAGGAGAGGGGAGCGCGGAGACAGAGCAGGAGGAGAGCGGCGAGGAGGAGAAGAATGGTGGGGAGGGGGGCGGAGGCAAGGGGGAGGGGGTGGTGGTGGTTCCGTTTGATAGAGCGGTGACTCTGGCGGATGGCGTGGCGGGTGTGCGCCATGGCACTGGTGGGGGCACTGGGCTGGGCGATAGTGGTGCAGGCGCAGGGGACATTGGGGGGGAAACAGCGGGGCTCGGGGAGACGAGCGAGCAAGGGGAGATGGGCAACGAGCAGACGGGCAGGGAGCGTGGGGAGGCGGCGAGGAGCGAGGGCGTGGTAGGTGCGGACGAGGTGAGTGAGGGGATGCGCGTGGTAGAGAGGGCAGGTATGGCGACAGGGCGTGCGGGACAGGGAGGCGAGGGAGGGGAAGGAGCGGAGGGAGAGGAAAAAGGAGAGGGAGAGGAGCAAGGGGAGGGGGGCGGGGAGAGAGAGGAGAGTGGGGAAGGCGGAGAAGCAGATACGGAAGCGAGAGAGCAGGGCACTGAGAAGGCTCATGGCGAGGCGGGGAAGAACGGGAGTGTGGAGGCATTGGGGGCGATTGGGGAGGCCATGGAGGCGGGCGGTAGGGGCATGGAGGGGAAGGGGGAGACGGGAGAGGACGGGGGGAGGGAGGAGAAAGGCGAGGGGAAAGTGGAGGTGGGAGGGGAAGTGGAAAGGCTAGAGGAAAGGGAAACGGAGAGGAAGGAGGAAGCGGAGGTGGAAGTGGGTGGGGAGCAGCGAGGGGGAGAGAAAGAGGTGGTGGAGGGAGGTGGGGGGGAGGAGGCGTTGACACGGGAGGCCATGGACGTTGGGGACGCGGGGGGGGCGGGGGGAGCAGAAGAGGAGGGTAGCGCGGGCAGGCTAGAGGGCCGACTGGATGGGGAAAACGGAAAGGATGCAGAGGGTGGGGATGAAGGGGAGGAAGGGAAAGGGAAGGAAGGGAAGGGCTGGGATGGTAGAGAGGATGGGACAGTGGAGCAGCAAGGAGAAGGCGTGGAAGAGGGGCGAGGGCAGACTAACCTGGATGGGCAGCCAGAGGCGGCAGGTGGGGGGGCGGGCAGGGCGCCCATGGAAACAGTGGCGCACTCCCGGACGCCCCTGGGCGGAGGGGAAGCGCGGGCTGGGGAAGGGGGGATGGGCGCGGGTGGTGGTGGTGGTGGTGGCGACAGTGGGATGGGCGAGCAGGCGGAGGGTTCTGTTGTGCCCGCGGGAAAGGGGGAGAGGCGGGGGGAGAGGGAGGCAGCGGAGGAGGGGCTGGAGGGTGGGGGCGCAGGGGATGCGAAGAGGCACCGGGTGGAGGGAGACGGTGGGGGAGAGGCGGAGGGCAAGGCGGGCACGGAGGGAAGGGCGGGAGCGGAGGGATGTGCAGCAGCAGAAGCAGTGGTAGGTGGGGAAGTGGGGACAGGGGTGGAAGCAGAGGCAGGGGTGGAGGGCGCAGGGGAGATGGAGGTGGAGGAGCAGGAGAAGTGGGTGGTGGCGGTGGGAGGGGTTGCAGAGCCGGGAGGAGTAGCCGCCTCTGCTCCTGCCGCAGCCCCACCACCAGTCGTGGTAGCATCAGTAGCAGCAGCAGCTTCAGCTGCAGTAGTTAAAGCAGCATCAGCAGCAACGGTTGCAGCCGGTGTGGCGGGTGGAAAGGTGGAAGGAGGCAAACCACAGCAGCAGCACCACACCCACCCCCAGCAGCAGCAGCAGCAGCAGCAGCAGCAGCAGCAGTCCCACCTGGCTCGGTCAGCCCTGTCCAAATCCCCACCTCTGCCCGACTCCGCCCCCCTCCTCCCCGCCCCTGTCCCCCGCACGCCCTCCCCCCCGTCCGCCCAGGCTGCGCCCTTCACTGGCGCGCGCAGCAGCGTAGGCAGCCCCTGCGGGTCTGGATCCCTCTCTGACCTTCTGCACCACTCCCAACCGCGCCAGCACTCCTCACTGCTTGCGTCCGCTGCTGCAGCTTCCGCGAGGGGCAGTGACGGCGATGGGCTCGGCGCTCTGCCGTCTGGGCCAGGTGCCATGGGCGGCAGCATGGGCGGCAGTGGCAGCATGGGCGGCAGCGGCAGCGGCAGCCTATCACGCGTGTCTGGGCTAGGCAGGGGAGCAAGAAGGCAGTTTGCAGCCATTCTAGACGAGTTCTGGGGGGGACTGTTTGACCTGCACGGCCAGCCCGTGCCCCTGCCCGCTGCCCGCTCTGGGGGTGGTGGCGGGAAGGCGGGCGGGAAGGGGGGAGGGGACGGGGGGAAGGGGAAGAGAGGCGGGGCGGATGGGAGTGGGGGTGGAGGGGTCGGAGGGATTGGAGTGGGGGCTGGTGCACGCTCCAGCATGCTTGGGGCTGCTGCTACTGCTGCTGCTACTGCTGCTGCTGCTGCTGCTGCGGCTGCTGCTGCTTCCGCCGCTGCTGTCGGTGGTGCTAGTACCGCCGGCAGTGTCGGTGGGTATGGTGGTGGTGGCGGTACAGCTAGTGCAGGTGCACCCAACAGAGCACATCCCATCCCTCCCGCCCTTCCCCCAGAGGATCATCTCTTTTCCCCTGATCCCCTCCCCGACTCCCTCTCTCTCACCGACCCGCTCTCTCTACCCAACCCCCTCGCCCTCACCGCCCACCGCCGCTCCTCCTTTGACGCCTCTTCCCCCCCGCCCCCCCTCCACGACCCCTTTCTCTCCCGCGACCCCTTCTCCGCCCGCCCCTCGCTCTCCCGCCCTCCCCCTAACATGTCCCCCCTCCTCTCCGCCTCCTCCGCCGCCCACCCCTCCCCCTCCGCGCGCCAGTACAGCACACTGGCGCATCTCCCCAAGTTCTCCGACCTGCCCCCCCAGCAGCAGCAGTCGCTGCTCACCGCACCCCCCTTCCTCCCCTCGCTCTCCTCCCTCTCTGCCTCCCCCGCCCCAGGCGGCCCCCATAGGGAAGTGGAGGGCCCTAGCCACTCCACCCCCAACCTGTACGCGGATCTGCTGGCGCAGGGTTATGGGGGGGGCGGGGGGAGGATGGGCGGGGGAGGGGGAGGCGGAATGGGGCTGGGGGGAGGGCGGGGGGCGTTTGGTGCGGTTGGGTCGCCGGCTATGGGTGTGTCTGGGATGCCTCCTGCTGCTGGGCTGCTGGGTGCTGCTGCTGCTGCTCCCTTCACACCTCAGTACCAGCAACAGCAGCAGCAGCAGCAGCACGCGTCCTCCTCGTTCTTCTCCTCCCAGCCGCACCCACACTTACAGCAGCAGCAACAGCCGTGGCAACAGCAGCAGCAGCAGCAGCAGCAGCAATGGCAGCAGCGTGGGAACGGCATGGATGGCATGGGCATGGACATGGGCATGGGGATGGGGATGAATCAACAAGGAATACACAGGGGCATGGATACGGGCATGGGCATGGGAATGGATTTGAACATGGGCATGGGCAGGAACGAACGTCTGGACCAGTTAGCACAGAGCTATGCGAGCTTCGCTCCTCCAGACGCCATGCGAGGCACCAACCCCCTCTCCCATGCACACGCCCACGCGCTTGATCACCCCCAGGGCCACCCGCAGGGGCACCCCCACGCCCCCATGCACCACCTGCTGCAGGCCTCCCCCTCTGCTCCCCCTGGCTTCCCCTTCCCCCGCCACCCCTCCCCCCCTGCGCCTGCAGGGGCGCCGTGGGGGGGAGGGGCAGTGGGGGCGGGGAGAGGGGGGGCGGAGTGGATGGGAGACAGCAGCAGTGGCAGCAACAGCAGCAGTGCGTTTGGAGGGCCTGGTGGTAACCCCATGGAGTGGCAGCAGCAGGGGCAGCAGCAGCAGCAGGGGCAGCAGCAGCAGCAAGGGCAGGGGCAGGGCGTGCATGGCATGGGTGCAGTGAAGCCCATCGGCCCTCCCTCCCGCCGCCAGCAGGACGAGCAGCAGAGCAGCACCAGCAGCATCACCAGCAGCAGCAGCAGCAGCGTGCATTCTTCCCTGTGGGCCAGCAACCCGCGCGACATGCTCTTTGGCACCCACTCTGGCCCCCTCTCCTCCTCCCTCTCCTCCTCCCCCGCCTCCTCCTCCCCTTCCTCCTCCACCCCTCTCGCCGCCCCTCCCTCCACCGCACCCAACCACTCCCCACCCAAACCATCCCCCTCACCACCCCCGGCGAAACCCCACGTGCAAACCGAGGAAGAGCGCCGGATGGATCGCCTAAGAGTGTGCTTGCACCGGTTGCTACGTCTAGACGGTAGTGACTGGCTGTTCCGGTATGACACGGGCAGTGATGAGGACTTAGTGGCTGCTGTTGCCTACCGGGAGCGGCGATTGGCAGGGGATGCTGCTGCTGCTGTCGCTGTGGGGCTGGGCGGAGGGGGCGGTGGGGGCGGAGGGAGCGGGAAGTGGGGGGGGATTTTGGAGGGGCAGGCGCAGGGGGGGCAGGGAGGGGGGGGGAAGGAGGGGGAGATGGAGTTACCGCCGTCGATATGGGGGTGTGGGGCGCAGTGTGTGTGGGGGCCGCTGCTGGTGGTGTCGTTTGGAGTGTGGTGTGTGCATCGCGTGCTGGAGCTGTCTCAGCTGGAGAGTCGACCTGAGCTGTGGGGAAAATACACCTACGTGCTCAACCGCCTGCAGGTGAGCTGTGGGGCAAATACACCTACGTGCTGAACCGCCTGCAGGTGAGGCACACACACAGTTAGGCATGGTCCCTTGCATGGCCAGCACAGCAGCCCGTCACTTGCCTTCACCACTGCCCATATCACCCCCTCCCCGTTCTCCCCTTCTCCACCTTCCCTCCCTATCCCTCTCCCCCTCTTCCCCCATCCGCCTCTTACCCTTCCCTCCCCTTTCCACCTCTCCCCTCGCCCACCCTCCCCCAGGGCATATTGGACCCGGCCTTCTTCCGCCCGCGCACCACCCCGCGCCTCTGCCTGTGCTACGGCGACCGAGCCTCTCTCCCAGCCCTCTCCGCCCAGCCCCTCTTCCACGGCGCCCTGCTCTCCGCCATGCTCGGCTCCCAGCTGCCCCTCGCCAACCCCTCCTGGCCCCTCGGCGCACCCCCGGGGCAGCCCAAGCCTGCCTCTCCAACTCTGTTCCTGGAGCGGATAAGAGAGGTGGAGGTGGCGGTGGGGGCGAGGAAGGGGCGCACGGGCACGGCTGCGGGGGACGTGGCGTTTCCCAAGGGCAAGGAGAACCTGGCCTCCGTGCTTAAGCGGTATAAGCGGAGGCTGGGGGGGAGGCCGTCGGGGGGACAGGGAGGGGGAGGAGGAGGGGGAGGTGGAGGGGGGGGGGGGAGGGGGAGGAGGGGGAAGAAGGTACTGAGGCGTGTGGGTGGGAAGCCAAAAACGTATCAGCTCTTTTGTCTCTAGAGGGTGTGATGATACATGTCGCCAAGACGGCCTTTTTGAGATGTGTAGCAGGATGAATGGTAGTGCAGCATGGTGGATGCAGGTTATGGTGAGTGGCTGGCACACACACCAGTAAAAATGACTTGCACAGGCTCAAATAGAGTCAGGCACACGCAAGTACAGTAGTACGGTAGTACATACGGTACTTCCAGGATTGCTTATAGCAGTTGCCTCTGTGCCTAAGGTTTATGTTATACCGCATTACAACTTTCACTGGCCTAGCATAGCCACCACATTGTCTGCTCCCATTCTCCCTTGCTTGATCGATACAACACCAGGGCAATGTCACTAACACGAGAGGGCTCATAGCCTTGTGTGTATACCGCATGCACTGTACGCATACTGTACAATGTGGTGCAAACAGAATACAATGTTTGCAAACAGCAGAGAGCTGTACAAAGAATCAAGCACCATGGCATGCTAAACCCATGCCATGCCATGCCATGCCTGCTGACATGTTTCTTGGGCACCCTGAACAGCACCTGTGTGGCCCCAGTAAACAGCCTGTTCACTACGGCATGCATATGATAAGCATCAGTGGCCTGTACAGAGAATCTAGTGCCATGCATGCTGACAGGCATGCTGTGCTACCGTCCCTTGGGCACCCAGAACACCACATGCAGGATGCTCGTGACAGCCTGTCGCACGCCAGACAGGACAGCGGATGCCACCCAGATCCCTGGCAGCCCCAGGCGGTAGACGGCATTGCCGGCGGTCACGGCGTGCGACAACACCTGCATGACAGAGGCAAGGACGGGGCAGTGGGGGTTAGAACAAGCCACGTGCAGTGTGAGGCACAACCCGCATGAGAGACAAGTACTACATGATGCATTGCACGCAGAAACTCGTGCGTTTTCTCCTAGATTTCGTCCTGAAAGGCGCGCTCTTTCCACACATGTTAGCGCGAGGGAGGAGCGGCGGCCAGGGGCTCACGGCGGGCAGCAGGGCGAGGCGCGCGGACCAGGCGTAGAGCGCGCCGATGAGGGGCAGCTCCGCCACCAGCGGGTCCACCTCGAAGAAATTGCTCTGCTCCGCGATGCGACACACCACCCGCCTCCCGCCGCCCCCTCCACCGCCGCTAACATTGACGTCGCCCTTTCCCCTGCCCCTGACACTGCCGCTGCCGCTGCCAATTCCGCCTGCTGTGGCCGCCCCGCCAGGCCTTGACGGCGCTGCGGGGACGTCGCTATCGTCGTCAGACGTGACGCGCTCCTCGTGTGGCTCGAGGCGCAGCACGGCCACCATGTGCAGCTGGCGCGTGGTGAGCGGCGCGAGCCACGGCCGCACGCACAGCGTGCCGCGCACCGCCAGGCGATCTGGGCGCGTGACGTCGTAGATGACGTCAGCGACGGTGAAGTACCAATAGATTGCCGTGACGCTGCGCAGCTGCGCGGAAAATATGGGGGAGGATGGGGGATAGGGGGGTATTGGAGAGGATGGGTGGATGGGGGGCTGAGAGGAATGGGGCAGTAAGGTCTGGCATTTATGGGGAGATGGTGGGGAGAATGTAATAGCTAGTTCTGTGATTCTGGCTCGCGCGGCGTCCATTGATCGCACCCAGAAGAGGTTCTCTATGGCGGCGGCGGAGCGGCACCCGAGCAGCGGCTGATGCAGCTGCGCGGACGGCGCGAAGACGCGGCGAATGGTGGCGGCTTGCAGCGGCAGATCCGCGTTCTGCACGATGCGGTGGATCGCCCCCGCCACCTCCTCCGCCGGTCGCTCCATGCGCTCCTCCCGCGCGCGCCCCCGATGCTTCTATCCAAGTGACTCGCCGATTTTCGCGAAGGTGATCGGGCGGGTAATCAGATCGCGAGTCGAAAAAGAAACGAGAAGGGCCTGCTGTGAGGGCAAATCGGAGTGGATGGGAAACGAGAGGATGAGAGTGCGAGAGTGGGAGAGAAGCAAGCAAGGAGGCAGGGTGTGGTGGTGAGTATGGATGAGCAGCGAATTGTTTGATTCAAAATGACGAGAAATTAGACATTTTGCAGTAGGGGGGGAGTTGAAGAGGGGAACGCGGGGCGTGGAAATGCGGAAGAAAGGGGGGGAGGCGCGGGTGACGAGGGGAATAGGTCGGGCGGGGGCGGAAAGGGGGGCGCATCGGGGAGGGGAACGGAGGAGAGGGGAGGAAAGGCGGAGAGTGGGGGCGCGGGAAGGGAACCGGGAGAAAGGGAGGAGGGCGCAGAAGGGGGGAACGGTGGGGAGGAGGTGGAGGGGATGAGGAATGAGGGCGTGCGCGCGGCCGTGGGGATGGCGGTGGGGGCGGAGCAGAGGAGGCGCTTTGGGCGGGGCGGAGTGAGGGTTTGTGTGATGCGCGGCCACACCAGGGGGAGGTGAGCGGAGGTGAGGGGAGGTGTGGGTGGAGGTGGGAGGTGGGGGGAGATGGGGGGGAGAGAGGGGAGGTGAGGGGAGGTGAGGGGGGAAGGGAGGGGTACAAGAGGGAGGTGGGGGAAAGTGGGCATGGGACACAGTTGATGCACATGAGTGCATGAGTGCATGCGTGCATGCGTGGTCTTGATTCTTCTCCCATCCCGTGCTCCGCGCCCATGCCCTTTGCTCCTCCCCGCCATTGCCGTGCATGCTCCTTTTCTTCTCCCTCACCGGCCCACTATGAAAAAAATGCTCCCTTTTGAGACGTCTCAAAAGCCTGCCCCCTGCCCCCTGCCCCGTGCTCCGTGCCGCTGCCCTAAACCAACCCTGCTCTGCTCTGCTCCTCCGTGCTCTGCCATGCCCCGTCACAGGGTGGGAAGTGTGGCGATGCGCCACGGCGTCGTGGCCACTGGCGGCTCAGACGATGTAAATCTCACGCACACATGTGCACCCCCCCATGCATGTGCCCGGTGTGTCATGTACGCACACCAGTGAACCATCACCGTACCGACTCTTACCCTGTCAATCATGTCTAACCATGTCTTACCATGTCTTGCCATGTCTTGCCATGTGTTTCTTGGCCAGCCTCCCCATGGGCTCCTCCCAATCCTGTGTGCTCACTGCCTCCCCCCGTCCCTGTGCGCCTCTCCCTATGTGCCCTCCTCCTCCTCCCCTGCAGTGTGTGCGCCTATGGCAGGTCCCTACACTCCCCGCTCTCCCCGCCGCGCATGTTCTTGCCTCCTCCTCGCCCTCCTCCCTGCCTGCCTGTCGTCAGACAGCTTGCTTCCCCTCTCCAGCCTCTCAGCCCATCACAGCCGTTGATCTTACGGACATCATGGTGAGCCGTTGATGGACCCATGCCCATGGCCGTCTAAGGTAGTTCTCCCAGCCCAGCAGAGCCATTTGACATGTGTGCTAGCTCTGTCCCTCCGCCTCCCATGTTCTCTTTTTTCCTTCTGCCCTCCATTCCTCTCTCATCTCTCTCACCTCACTCAACTCTCCTCTCCACCTCCCCAGGTGCTTGCAGCATCAGGCACGCAGGTCTTAGCGTGGAACAAGGATACCGGGAAGCTGCTCAGAAGCTTCGGCGGCCACCACCAGCGACTTCGCACGATGAGGTGAGCGGATCCGATCACATTTGGCCTAGTGAGCGGATCAGATCAGATTTTTTAGGCCACTTCCTTGCCCGTCTGCTTGTCTGCATCCAAACATCCTCTCGCCCCTCTCAACTCTCTCACCCCTCTCACCTCTCTGCACACATGCACACATGCACACATGCACACATGCACACATGCACACATGCACACATGCACACATGCACACATGCACACATGCACACATGCACACATGCACACATGCACACATGCCCACATGCCCACATGCCCACATGCCCACATGCACACATGCACACATGCACACATGCACACATGCACACATGCACACATGCACACATGCACACATGCACACATGCACACATGCACACATGCACACATGCCCACATGCCCACATGCACACATGCACGCATGCACACATGCACACATGCACTCATGCACACATGCCCACATGCACACATGCACACATGCCCACATGCCCACATGCACACATGCCCACATGCGCACATGCATGCAGCTACGATGACACGGACCTGCTAGCAGCATGCAGCGACGGCACTGTTCATGTGTACGACATATACAGTGGCATGACCACCCACATCCTCCGCCCACACGCCCGTGCGCGCGGTGGGGCGGCAGCCATGAGCTACAGTGCCACCATGGGGCTGCTTCTGTCGGGCGGCACGGACGGCACGGTTCGTCTTACTGACTGCCGCTCATCGCTGCAATTGCACACCCTTCTCTTCACCGACCCCTCCCCAGGTACCACCTATGCTGAATAACACCTCCCCAGTCACTAGCACCTGCGTTGAATACCACCCTCCCCAGGTACTACCTTTTAAATCCCCCTACGGCAGTCCATAGTCGGCTCTGCAGGGTCTCACGCTTTTATTTAGGAGGCTTGGAATGGCAACTGCCACTCAGCACTGTTAATGAGTCACCATGCCATCCCCCCACCCCCCCCCGCAGTGACCTCTGTGCTTCTCTCAACGCCCAGCAACCGAGTGATGGCAGCTTCGGCATCCGGCCACTTGCGAGTATGGGACCTCAGGTGGGTCTTATGTAGAGCGTGCCTTTGAGAATTCTTAAAAGAGGACAGGTGGGTGCAAGCATCTGACCTGCGAGTGTGGTGTGGGACTGCAGGTGGGTGGGTAGGGGAGGTTAGTGGGGCTGTCTATCGGTGAGCGTTCTCTCAAACCTTTCAGTCCCCATTTCGATATTCATGACATGCACCTCTCGCCTGCCCTTCCTCTTCCTCCCGCTTCCATCCCTCTTACCATCCCATCTCCCCCCCCCCTCCCTCCCTTCCGCAGGTCCCCCTCTCGCACTCTCATGGATACCACCATCTCCTCCCCCACCCACACCACACTCGCCCTCCCCTCCTCCCCACTCGCGCTCCCGCCTGTTCTGCTGACAGCTGGCACCACGGGATTGGTCCAAATCCTGGACGCCGCCTCCCTCACTCCCCTTCGCCGCCTGCGCCGCCCGCCACTCGCTGAGCTGGCACTGGGCAGCGGATCAGGAGTTGCAGTTGAGGTGGATGGGAGTGGTGGGACAGGAGAGGGGCAGGGATTAATGCGAGGAACAGGGTGGGGCATGAGGGAAGGTGGGGAAGAGAAGGTGCAGAGCCAGGGTGGGCAGAGGGGTAGTGACAGCGCAGAGGTGCATGCTTCAAACGGGGGAAACGAGGCAGCTGCTGGTGTGAGTGGTAGGGGGTTGCCGGGAGGAGTGACAGCTGGGATGACTGGCATCGCTGCAAGAACATCCACCTTTGTCACATCGCATGTTGATGGAACTGCAACCTTATGGTTTGCTGGTTTGTAGTGCTGTGATGTAACAATTTAAGCCCCACACCATAGACGTTTTCGTCCTGGATGAAGGGTTTCAGGAGTTATGTATACCCTGAATTTGGTGCGGGGCAGCAAACCAAGCTTTTCACATGGACGTTTAGCCAACAACCCTCAAACGAAGAAATACCCGTATCTGAACGATTTTTCTTCAGAGTTCAAGCTGCCATTTGCAAGCTGTTTAGCCAACATGGGCATGGGCCACATGACTAACTCTCACGAGAGAGTTCTGCTGATGGTGGGTGTATGTAATTCATGAGTCCAAGGATTCTGTGCAATAGATGTATAGATCAGTTCAACGACTACCAGTTCCTGTGTTTCAGGCTACAGATGTCAGGCTACCTATTGCACCCTGAGACGTCATGGAGAATGAGAGCTTGATGCACCATCTAAAGAAAGACTGTAATTGTGTAAAAAATCAGCTACCAATATTCATGTAAACAAGGCAATAAAATGCAAATCAATCAGCCTCAAAAGCTGTTTGATTGTAACATAGAAGGCATGTTTCCATACTGCATACCCTAATCAGATATTATAGGCAGCTCACAGCTCGTCGTGGCCAGCATCCTGCAACAAATGACAAATAATCAGCAATTAGTGAGACAGCATAACGAGCTAGTCCGTGGTGTCACGCCAAAAAGGTGAAAGTAGCCATGCAGTAGGGGTTAATCAAGAGTGCAGCATGACAAAGGACTCACCTCCTTGGGCTCCTCCTCATCCTCCTTATCCTCAGCAGCCTCCGCAGCCTCAGCATCACCCTCGGCATCATCCTGAAACCAATGAGGCCAAAATTCAACATTTATCAAGCACAATCACAGCTCCACCTAACAGCTTCTGAAGACTGGATTCGAATGAAGAACACGGCATGATTATTACAAGTTGCTCACCTCATCATCGGCATCGTCCCCAGCGTCGTCCTCCTTCTCCTCCGCCTCCTTGGACTTCTCGGCCTCATCATGCATTTTCTTCTCCTCCTGCATGACCAAACGCGCATGCAATGTTAGCTCACCCTCTTACAAACCTCATGACGATGAGTGCCTTCACTTACCGCCTTCATGGCGCCCCATGTGTCCTCAGCGAACTTGCGAGCATACTCAGCATCATCAGTGACCAGGATGTTGTCAAAGATGGAGCCAGCCTTGACCTGCCACAACAGAGTGCGAACACTCATTAGTATGGCTGCCTCGTAAGAGGTATGACAAAGCCTGCAATAACTCTAAATCGGTAAGAACACACACCTGCCAGATCTCAAAGCCAGCGTAGCGCAGAGGTGGTAGACGATAGGCCTCTGGCTTCTCCACGAACTCTGCAACACCGTAGAACCGTGGTTAGATTCGGGATTGCATGGAGTTAGGAAGCTAAACCAAGAAAACCAGTCAAGCTTACCAGGGTTGTCAATCATAGGAGGCTTCCACTTGCCCTGGTACGCGGGGTTCTTGATCCTCTGTGGGAAGAAAAGCATGAGAACAGAAGTCCATTTGCGATTAGCATAACGCAGGTCGCGTCTAACGACGACAATTCGAGAATCGAAAACACCGTAACGGTTACTAAGTAACATCAGATTATTATCGCAATCAGGGGCCAGGGATACGCGCGAAGCGTACCTTGGCCTTCCATTCGCCCTTGTACTCGGGGTTGGGGATAAGAGGAGCCTCCCATTCACCATCATCCTCGTCGTTCCAGTCCTCGGGCTGGAATCAAAGATATGGCATACAGTATCACAAGTTAGCCCACCAAGTTCTTTGTTTGAAGTATAGTATGTGTCTACTAGCTCCGCATTCTGGGAAATGTTTGCATGTTCTATGACCAAAACGCTCACCTTCTTAGCCTCAGGATCCACAATCTCAGCAGCGATGTCATCCCAGCCCTGCATAATCAAAGCGTATAAGGAAACCAGCGCCCGGGTGAGAAAGAAAAAAGACAAGCGAATGAAAATCCCAGAGAAACCTCGGAAGGACAGGGTAAAAAATTGAAAAATAACAGGCCAAGATTCTACTTCACGTACATCGGGCTTCTTGTCCTCGGGATCATCCATGTACTCCTCGTCAACCCAGTCCTCGGGCTTCTTGACGGACTTGTCGGGGATCTGGCGCGGCTTCAGGAAATCCCATTCCGCAAAAATGTCGCCGCCGGACTTCTCGACGTTGTCGATCAGGATCTTGTAAGTGTTGTTGGGGCTCAGGATGAAAGTGTAGACGTGGGAAAGCGTGTCGGTCTCGCACTCCACGTTCTTCTTGATCAGCATGTTCTTGCCCTCGTGGGTGATGATGGCGTGGACCCTCTTAGTCGAGTACCCGCAGATGTCCGGGCCGAACATGATGCTGCATATATGAAGAGAGCAGTATGTTGAATTGCATGTTTCGAGGCACGATTCATCGGAAAAATATTATAGTCAGGATCGAACCTGTAAGGAGTGTCGCCACCGAAGTTCTTCTGGTCGACCTCTCCCTCCAGAAGCTTGATGTAGCCACCACCACAGTCAAGATCCTGCTCATGCTTCACTTGGAACTGAAGAATGAGGTCCTTGTCCTTGTTGTCGAACTCCTCGATCTTGGAGGAAATGGCGAAGAACCGGGCGTCGGGGTGTGTCTGGATACCTGCATTAAGAAATTGTCCGTTAATGCGGTTCATTCTGTGCTAACGTCCAAAACAGCATGCTGAGTAAAAGAAAAAACTTGCCTTTGTCCTCAGGATCCTTGTAGTACTTCCCAGCCGTGTGCTTCCATTCTCCCGCAGCTCCCTCCGACTTCTTCCAGTCGGACACTACCCACCTCGAATCCCATGAATCTGCACAATAATAAGAGAATGTGCTCAGATCTCTCCAGATATCTCAAGGTACTAGGGAATTGTGCATGATAGAGCCGGTTCTAGCACAAATCGCACTCTTTCAATCACTATAGCACCTACCGTCAAACTTCTCCTCGAAGTAAACCTTAGCTGAGACAGCTAGGCAGAGAGCCAGGAGGCACACAAAACGAAGAGCCTGCGCCATTGTCGCTAAGCTTGGAGATCCAACCCGTCAAGGTAACGAAATGCAAATTCGAGTCATGGATTACATAAGAGGATCTGGTGAGGTGACTGGTGGGGGGAGCTGGCACAGAGACTCGGTGGGTGGTTGCTTGGTTGGATCGGTTGGTGCATCTAGAAACTTGTGCCGAAGCCAAGCCCAAGGGACAACCACAGCTGGAGCTGGTTTTGGCGCCAAAGTTGAGACAGCCACTCAGCCGTCGACAATGCTCGCGTGGGCCAATCACGAGAAGCCAACCACGTCAAAATGAGCATCCAGAAGCTGAGTGCTATAACCGTCGATCTAGTCGCTGAGAAATCGAAAGCCGTTGGCTGCAGCTAGACTTGCAAGTTTGTGTCGCATGAACTTCCTATTCTGCCGCTGACAAAGTCAAAATTTCGGAACTGTGTTACACCTTCGAAAATATAAATGCGCTCCTACATAGGTTCGTAAGGGAATTCGGTTGTCATCGCTACACCTGTACTTCACTTCCGAGCGGAGAGTTTGTAAAGAGAATGAAGCATTGGACGAGGCTTGAGCAGTAAATGACGTGGCAATGGCTCCCAGAGTTTCACATTTGTGCCAGTCAGACCCAGAGAGGTGGAGGTCACCACAACATTCGTTGCCGCGTGGCGTAGATGCTGGCTTGATCGATGATCCAGGGCTCTTCTCCAGCAGTCACGCGGAATTGGGTAATTACCTTCTGGGTAACCAACATCGAAGCCGCTGACGTCAGAAGTCACCTACGTGGCTCGATGGTACCCGTCAGATCATGCGCGCCCCTTCGTGGTACCCATCTTCCCTCCGTGGTACCCATCTTCCCTGCGTGGTACCCATCAACTGTGCGCGAATTCCCTGACTGGTACCGCAACATTTCAACCGAGCTGTACACTGTACAACAAGGGTTTCAATGCGTTTTTCAGTATATTAATAACAACGTTTACAAACTCTTATTGAACATTAATACCCTTGAACATAAATGTTTGAACGTGCCTTACACTGGACAGAGTGCAACATAGAAATAAATCAACTCCTCTTCTAAAATCCTCACATTACCTCCAAACCTTCGTAAGCTCACACCACTGAACGACAGGTAGAGTGAATCTTGCGACCATGTTTCGCAGCGCTCAGTATGTTATTTGAACAAAGTTTATAAGGTTGTATGCAAATAAATTGAGCATGCACCCCCAAAGCTAAACATAAAATCATAAACAAATAATACGTACATTCGTTGGTTTTTGGAAACAAAACAATACATATAATGAAAATCAAATATACCTTAAGTCAATATATACTTTACGTGTAAGTTGATTGTTTTCTATACGGATGTTTTTTTTTCGGCTGATGCAATATATCAGTTTTACGTTATCTTATAGCACGTTATATTGTCGATGTTTCTTAGCCTAAACAAATCTACCCAATGAATGCTATTTTATTTAAGAATCCAGCTTTTCTTCTACACTTTATTATAGGTAATGGGTGTGATAAATTGACTCGATCAGGTGGCACTTCGGGCTTGTGACTCTATTGAGCTTGTAAACGTTAAAGCCGGCGGCCCAAATTGTTCATGCTTTTAAAAGTTGACCAGAGTTTTTCTGGTGTGGGCTTTGGCGAGAGTTTCCGATTTCGTCTAGGTTCGTTTTTTTCGCGAGACCCAGCCAACCCTCGGTTTTCCCCCTGGTGAGTGAATCTGTCTTCGAAAGTCCCAAATTGCAGGTGCGTGACTTTCAAAAGCTTGGACACTCAACTTCGTCAAGTTTTAAAAACTTGACCCTCGCGGCCCGCAATTTGGGACGCGGGCTTTAAGACAATATACTGAGAAACGCATTGAAACTCTTGGTGTACGGTGTACAGCTCGGTTGAAATGTTGCGGTACCAGTCAGGGAATTCGCGCACAGTTGATGGGTACCACGCAGGGAAGATGGGTACCACGGAGGGAAGATGGGTACCACGAAGGGGCGCGCATGATCTGACGGGTACCATCGAGCCACGTAGGTGACTTTTGACGTCAGCGGGCTCGATGTGAGTTACCCAGAAGGTAATTACCCCGCGGAATTTCTTGCTGGCCAGGATCAGTCTTCAAGCCCCCATTCCAGCGTGGCATTCTGTTCCTCAACCCGTTCTCTAGGTCCGACGTGGCAAGCTCACACCACCGAGCCAAACACCCCATTGTCCAACAAAGCCACAATCATCCAGCACACGCGCTTCGCGTTTGTGGCTGGCAGCTGGAGCTGCGAAAAGGGGGGAACGTGGGAATCCAGCCAGCAGAGGGGAGGGAGAAGCAAAAGCATCTCACAGCAGATAATTCAAATTCACAAGCCGGATTTCTTTCACATTATTTGCTCCGAGTCGTACACAAATCACACGAGAGGAATTATCTTCCCCTCGTTCGTTCCTCCAACGACACCATGGCTGCCATCGCCCACTCCGCGTCGCTCCTCTGCGAGGCCTCCCTCGCCGCCGCGCGCTCGGCCAGCTCGCTGCCGTCGCACTCGGGCCTCAAGGCCGAGCCCCGCGTGGCCGTCCGCAGCCTGCGCGCGCAGCGCGCCAAGACCGCCAAGCCCATGACGGTGCGCGCGAGCGCGGGAGCCACCGTGGAGGGATTCGAAGTGAAGGCGGTGCCGACGTCGCCGATCGAGGGGCAGAAGACGGGGACGAGCGGGCTGCGCAAGAAGGTGAAGGTGTTTCAGGAGCCGCACTACCTGGCCAACTGGATCCAGGCGCTCTTCGACTCGCTGCCCGCCGAGGACGTCAAGGGCTCGCTGCTCGTGCTGGGCGGCGATGGCCGTTACTTCAACCGCGAGGCCGCGCAGGAGATCATCAAGATCGCCGCCGGTAATGGCGTCGGGAAGATTCTCGTGGGCAAGTGCGTACCGTACCCCGGCCTTCTCGTCCCGCCCATTACTCCGCTGTTTTTTGTTTTTGTTTTTTTTGTTTTTTTGTTTGTTTTTCCTCTGCATCTCGCCACCCACCCGTCTGGCCCTCAACCCGTTCCGCTCTTCCACTTGCCCTGAACCATTGCATCTTCGTCGACACGCCTGTGCTCCCCGCTTCTTCTCACTTCCCGTTTCCCCCCCCCGCGCACCCCGCTCTCTCCGCGTGCAGGGATGGCGTCATGTCCACGCCCGCCGTGTCGGCTGTCATCCGCAAGCAGAAGGTGAGAGGAAGCACACGACATGGCATGGCATGGCATGGTACGACATGGCATGGCGTGGCATGGCATGGCATGGCATGGTACGACATGGCATGGCGTGGCATGGCATGGTAGGACATGGCATGGCATGACATGGTACGGCATGGCGACGCGGCATGGCTTTGCAGCATGCGTGGCATGGGACTGCCTGCTTGCATTTCACAATCTACTAGCCGTTGAAGTGAGCTACCAATGCAAAAGCGGGCTACGAATGCGATAATATCGTATTAAAATTATCATCCTCGTCTCTCCGCCCGTGCGCTTCCCCGTGCGCGTGGTCCGCGCGTGCAGGCGTACGGCGGGTTCATCATGAGCGCGAGCCACAACCCCGGAGGCCCCAAGTACGACTGGGGCATTAAGTTCAACTACAGCAGCGGCCAGCCCGCGCCCGAGTCCATCACCGACAAGATCTACGGCAACACGCTCTCCGTTAGTACCCACCCACGCGCTTTCCGTGCATTTCGTTTCCGCAACACGCTCTCCGTACATGTCTCTTCCCCCACGCGCTCTTCGTACATGTCCCTCTCGCTTTAGCAACACGTTTGCGATACGTGACACTGGCGCCCGTTTCGCTCACATCGCCAATGCACTGTAACATCATTTCGCCAGTGTCTCCGCCTGTTTTCCCTCTGCGCGTCTCAACCTCCTCCCTTACCCACCCCCCACCTCCCTCCTGACCGCGCCTCCCTTGCGCAGATCAAGGAGATCAAGCAGGCGGAGATCCCTGACGTGGACTTGGCCAAGACCGGCACGACCAAGTTCGGCTCGTTCGAGGTGGAGGTCGTCGACCCCGTCGCCGACTACCTCGAGCTCTTCAAGGTACGCTCCAAGGAATCATAAAATGCAGACCAGCACCCGTCCCCGTTCCCCCGCCTCCCACACCCGCGCCCCCCCACGCGCATCTCCGCCCCACTCAATTTAGTTTCAAAGCTGCAGGGCTCCGTCGATTATTCCGCCACGCTTCCACCCCATCCCTCCTCGCTTTCCCCCTCCGTCCCTAACGTCCTCCGCCCTCCATCCCCGTCCCCTATTCTCCCCCATTTCCCCCGGCCACCCGTGGCCTCCTCCCCTCACCTCCCCCTCCCCCCTCCCTTCCTCAGCAAGTGTTCGACTTCGACATGATCCGCGCGCTCGTGACGCGCCCCGACTTCTCACTCAAGTTCGACGCCATGCACGCCGTGACCGGCGCGTACGCCAAGCCCATCCTCGTCGACGCGCTCGGCGCGCCCGAGTCGGCAATCATCAACGGCACGCCGCTCGAGGACTTCGGCGGCGGCCACCCCGACCCGAACCTGACCTACGCGGAGGAGCTCGTGAAGATCATGTACGCCCCCGATGCGCCCGATTTCGGCGCCGCATCGGACGGCGACGGCGACCGCAACATGATCCTCGGGAACAACTTCTTCATCACGCCGTCCGATTCCGTCGCGATCATCGCCGCCAACGCGCAGGCCGCCATTCCGTACTTCGCCGCCGGCCCCAAGGGCCTCGCGCGCTCCATGCCCACCTCCGCCGCGCTCGACGGCGTCGCGACGGGCCTCAACCTGCCGTTCTTCGAGGTCCCCACCGGGTGGAAGTTCTTCGGGAATCTCATGGACGCGGGCACGCTGAGCATCTGCGGAGAGGAGAGCTTCGGAACCGGATCGGATCACATTCGGGAGAAGGACGGGCTGTGGGCGGTGCTCGCGTGGCTGTCCATCCTCGCGTATCGCAACAAGGACGTGCCTGTTGGCGGGAAGCTGGTGTCGGTGGGTGACGTGGCGCGCGAGCACTGGGCGCAGTACGGGCGGAACTTCTTCTCGCGGTACGACTACGAGGAGTGCGCGTCGGAGGGCGCGAACGCCATGGTGGCGCACCTGCGCGCGATCCTCGCCGCCGCCAAGCCCGGAGATAAATACGGTGAGACGCGGTTGGGTGCGGTGTGGTGAGGGGAAGGGATAAATGCGTTGAGAAGCAGTTGGGTGCGGTGAGGAGAGGGGGGGCATAGAGGGAGAGTGAGAAAGAGTGAGGGGGCAGGGGGGAGCAGGGCACGGGAAGGCACAAGGATAGCAACAAGACGAGTCACCACAAACCAACCAACTACCTTCACCAGTTTTGGTTCCTATGTGGCATTCAATGAATGCCGTAATAGCCACAATGCCAGTCATCAGACGAAGGCACGAGGCACGGGCGGTGCCCTCGTTAGAGCTGGCATGTGCCTCTTCCCCTCCCGTTCTCACCATCAACCCCCGTATCCAAGTCCTCCCCCCATCCCTCCCCATAATCTTCCCTGCTGCCCCCATTTGGCGCATACGAGCTGGCGCTAGCAGACGACTTTGAGTACGTGGATCCCATGAAGGGCAGTGTGACGAGCCAGCAGGGCATCCGCTTCCTTGTCTCATCATCACCCTCTCTAACCAGTCCACATTCCGCCTCTATCTTCCATCCATCCTTCCATCTCCCTTCATGCAGGTGCGTACGAGCTGGCGCTAGCGGACGAATTTGAGTACACAGACCCCGTGGATGGCAGTGTGGCATGTGCGTAGCCTCCCCTTCTCTCATTACCCCTTACATCTGCCCAACCCAACCATATCTATCTCTGTGCAGGCGCATACGAGCTGGCGCTAGCGGACGACTTTGAGTACACGGACCCCGTGGATGGCAGCGTGGCCAGCCAGCAGGGCATCCGCTTTGTCTTCACCGATGGCTCCAGGATCATCTTCCGCCTCTCCGTACGTGCTGTGCACTCTCTGCACCTCCCTCGCTGCACCCCCTCACTACTCACTCACTTCTCACCCACTGCCAACAATCATCCGCTTTGTCTTCACTGATGGCTCCAGGATCATCTTCCGCCTCTCCGTACGTACGTGCCCCACCACCGCCCCTGCCTTCCTGCACCGCCCCTGCCTTACTGCACCGCCCCTCCTTGTGTATGTGGAGCAGTATGAGCCGGATACCTCCATGTGACAGCACTCACCTCCATCCCATGCACCCATCCTCCCATCTCCCACCCTCCCATCCTCCCATCTCTTCTTCACGCCTATCAGGGCACGGGCAGTGCAGGAGCCACCATCCGAGTGTACGTGGAGCAGTATGAGCCGGACGTTGCTCGTCACGGCCTTGACGCACAGGAGGCCCTCAAGCCCCTCATCGGTGAGCCAACCTTAGGATGAGATTGTGTTGTGTGATAGATCTCCCCATCTGCATGCCACTATGGCCGAGCAGCACATAGTCTGCATGCAGCATGCCTCCACGGCCTCACACGGAGCAGTATGAGCCGGACTTCGCTCGTCACGGCCTTGACGCACAGGAGGCCCTCAAGCCCCTCATCGGTGAGCTGCCTCTTGCACCTCACTCCGTAGCCCTCCCTGCCTCCCTGCCTGCCGGCCAGCCTCTTTGCCGACCAGACTTCCTGCCTTCCTGCTTGCCTTGAGTCTTTCTGACTTCCTTCTCATGCTCCTCACACTCGAGCGCAAGCGCCAGCATCCTTCATACGAAACCCCTCCTATGCCTACGTAACATCGCCCTCTAATTGAATGTTTCACTGAACGCTTGTGTGCTTTCCTCCTCCTTTCCCCCCCCATGCAGACATTGCTCTGTCAGTGTCCAAGCTCCAAGAGTTCACCGGCCGTGACAAGCCCACCGTCATCACCTAGACTCTAACCCCCCTCCCCTTCCCCCCTTCCCCCCCTTCCCCTCACATTTCCTCATTTTCCCTCCCGGCCTGCCCATGCAGACATCGCTCTGTCAGTGTCGAAGCTCCAAGAGTTCACCGGCCGTGACAAGCCCACCGTCATCACCTAGGCGCCGCAACTCTGCACGCCTCCGCATGCCTTTGCACTCCTCTGCACTCCTTTGTACTCATCTGCACTCTGCACAACCTAGTGTTAGACTACCATAGCTCCCAAGAGAGGGCCTTGCCTGCAATAAATGCAGGCGTTTTGTAGGGCCTGATGACCTGTGTTTGTGTTTGCACCTGAATTGTGAATGAAGCTCTTGTGTGTAACTTGATTTACCACCAGTCTGACTAGGCAAAAGGGAGAAACTTACCACATCCATAGCAAAGAGGGCTCTGCAGCTTCTGCAACCCACAGCAGCAACTGCCACATGCAACTGCTGCCACTCCCATGTGTACCGTACCGTACCTCACACACACCGCACCTGCACTGCAAGGCCCTTCAGACTCTGATCCGGTGCCTCTACCTGAGACTCCTCCCCAAGGCTGCTAGCACTGGCCTGGCATCAGTCGAGACTGGCCCATTAGTTCACACAGTGCAACTACTCTGTTCTAAAAAACATTGCTGGCACTTGCTGGCATTCCCAAAGACTGCTGGTGCATGGCATCAGTTGGGATTAGGCGTTTGCTGCCACTGCTCTCCAGCCTACTGTTTGCTGGTACAGTACCGGTAGGTAGCGTGTAGTCGGAATTTCACTGCATCACCACAAGTACCACGTATTGGGATATCGGGAGGCTTCTGCCAACACCAAGTTTCCTCAAACACAAGACAACTGCAGGTGAATAAAAGCATATCGCATTAAAAGTATTGCGAGGCCTCTGTCCACACAAGAGCAGGGTTGGCAACCTTATCCATGGTCAGGTCAACATGCTGGTCCCCTGGCAGAAAAACATATTCACATGGCACTTTATCCTCCACATACCCCTGTACCACCGCCACTCCTTGCACCACATTATACGGAAACGGCTTCGGCGCGCGCGGGTGGTCGGCGAGTTTCGTCCCGGTTAGGAAGTTAGTCACCCCGGTTTCTAGGGAAGGCATTGTGGCTCCCATGCACGATGCGCTGATCCCGAGGGGCTCACCCAGAACCCCCCCTACAGTCACATGCTTCACATTGAACCGCTTCCGGAGGTTGTGTGTGAATATAGCGCAGGCTGAGAAGCAGTTTCCGTTTGTGACTATAACGAGCGGCCGGTTCCCAAACACCGGGCCGCGAAACGGCACCTTCTCAAGCCCGGGAAACGCGGCGAGCTTGAACAAACCCGAGTACACTCCGGTCTGCCCGTCCGGCGAAAACGTTTCCTCCTGAAACGGCTTGAAATCGCGCGCGCTTTTCACCGGCGTGGTCTCGTCAACCCGCACGTACTTATCCCACTGGTAGAACGAGGAGAGCTGCTGGTCCAGCAGTGAGAGCATGAATGCATTGGAGATGAGCAGCTGCTGCGGCATCTGCACTCGGCCCGTGGGGGCCTTCTGCTTGCCGGCCACGAGGCGCAGGAGGAGGTAGGCTATGTCTGCGTAGCCCCCCCCGTTGCCACTCACGTCCATCAGTATACTCTTGCCGTGCCTGTGATTGAGGAAGAGAGAGGGGGTTGGAGCAAGGCGGGGGGAGAGGGGAAAGGGGCAGGGATTGTAGGCGTTTTTGCTTGCCGGCCACGAGGCGGAGGAGCAGGTAGGCTATGTCGGCGTAGCCCCCCCCGTTGCCACTCACGTCCACTATGATTCGGCTGCCATGCCTGGTAATGAGGAAAAGGGCGGGGGAGTGGGAAGAAGAGACGGGGGAGAGGGGAAGGGGGCACGGAGTGAAGGCTCTCTGCTTGCCGGCCACGAGGCGCAGCAGCAGTTATGCGGTGTTGGCATAACGACCGCCGCCGTTGCCACTCATATCCATGATGATGCACGTGCCGTGCCCAGGGGGGAAACGGGAAAGAAGGAGGGAGGGGGGGGAAGAGTGCGAGGAGGGAAGAACAAGGAGGAAGCTATTGAGTCGCCTCGAAATGCGGTTAGCAAGCAAAAACGGAGATGAAGGGGACTAGATGGGGGGGGGGGGGAGGGGGGGTGGAGGGAACAGGATGACGAACTCACTGGTTGGCGAGATCAACGGCTGTGGAGATCTCGGTGAGCAGGAAGGCAATGAGGGCTTCATCTGAGCCGTCCAATGCTGGCAGGAAGGTGTGCAGCCAGATGACTGCCGTGGCGTTGTCTGCCAGTAGGTAGACCTGGGGGAGGGGGGGAGGGGGGGAGGGGGAAGATAGAGAGAGGAAGAGCAGGGATGGCAGGAAGGTGTGCAGCCAGATGACTGCTGTGGCGTTGTCTGCTAGTAGGTAGACCTGGGGAGGGGAGCGGGGAGGGATACGAAGGGTGGGCAGAGGAAGAGGGGGAGAAGCAGCAGGGCTCATGTGGACGATATGCATTGCATTACACTGCATGCTGCCATGCACACACACAGGACGCGGTACCACGTGCACCGAAGCACACAGGACGCGGTACCACGTGCACCGAAGCACACAGGACGCGGTACCACGTGCACCGAAGCACACAGGACGCGGTACCACGTGCACCGAAGCACACAGGACGCGGTACCACGTGCACCGAAGCACACGGCACTCACGGGAATCAGCGCTGTTGACGTGGACAGTTTCTGCGCCCCCGCCAGGTCATTCGGCGCTGGCACTGACGAGGCACGCCCGTCGCCGGCAGCCGAAGCAGCAGCAGCACTATCAGCATCAGCCGGACCGGCAGACTCAGCAGATTCAGAAGTCTCAGCAGCAGCAGCAGCCGCTGCTTGGTATTGGGTCCGGAGCAGCAGGGGGGCGGCAGGGGGTGGGGGAGGGGGGCGGAGCAGGGAGGGGCGGGCGTCGAGGTCGGGCCTTGGGAACTCCACAGCCAGAGTCGGCCACCCCGCTGCCCTCTCCCTGCTGCTGTCTCCCATCCCCGTGCGACTGCTGCCCCATACCACTGCTCCAACTGTGCTCTCTGCTCCCTTCTCTGTGCCCTCTGTGTCGCCCGTGTTCTCTGCACTCCCTGCTCCGTTCCCTCTTCTCAATGTGCTCTCCGCTCCCTCGGTGCTCTCTGCTGCGTCGTCTGTAATCCACGCCCCCACGCCCCGAGCTCTCTTCTTCAGCCTCTCACTCAGCAGAGGCCCCGGTCTCCTCACCCTCCCCTCCCCTCGTTCTTCCCCCCTCCCATATCCCCGTTCCCTCTCCCCCCACCGCTCCCCCTCCCACTCCTTCTCCGCGTCCCCAGCACCTTCCCCCCTCCCCCCATCCGCATCCAGCGCCCAATCTTTCCCCCTTTCCCTGCTGCGCGCCCCCAGATCAACCCCAGCTGCCCCTATTCCCCTCGTCCCCCCAGCAGCAGCAGCGGCAGAAGCAGCAGCAGCGGCAGAAGCAGCAGCAGCGGCAGAAGCAGCAGCAGCGGCAGAAGCAGCAGCAGCGGCAGAAGCAGCAGCAGCAGCAGCAGCAGAAGCGGTGGGTTGGCGAGGGGTGGCGCAGTTAGCCGCCCAGTAGGAGGTGGCGGAGTCGAAATTGGTCGGCAGAACCGCCACCCATGGCACTGTTACTTGTACTGGTGTGGCACTCGTGCTGTCATGGGGGGAGAGAGGGGGAGAGAAAGGAGCCGAGAGTAGGGTAGGGACAGACAGGGTTACAAGGGACAGAGGCGGCAGCAGCAGCAGCCCCAGCAGCACTTGGAGCAGCAACATAGACCAGGGAAGGGGAAATAGGTCGGCAGCACTGCCACCCACGGCACCGTCACCTGCACTGGTGTGGCACTCGTGCTGGGATGTCACAGTGATGGGGAGGAAGGGGGGGATGAAGCAGGAGGGAGGGAGAGGGAGAGTTTGGGAGTACATGGTACATGAAAGACAGCAAAGCTCAATGGTGATTAAGGCTGTGAATGAAATGGCCCATGCCCCATACGCCATGTCCATACCCCATGCATGCCCCATACGCCATGTCCATACCCCATGCATGCCCCATACGCCATGTCCATACCCCATGCATGCCCCATGCCCATACCCGATGCCCCACACCCCATGCCCCATGGCTGCTCTGTGCGACATGACTCTTGCCCCATGCCCATCTGCAAACAACGGCACCCCTCCCCATCCCTCCCCACGCCTTTAACTCACGCCAGCAACAGCTCGACCACAACGCTGTCATTCGTCGGCACGAGACTCCGCTGTGCGAACGCGCCCTGAGTCGCAATCACAGCGCCCGTCGCTTTAGACACAACCCTTCTTGCAAAGAGCAGATTAAAGCGCACGCCCGAGTCGCGATACTGCCCCACGTAGCGCCCCGCCCACTCGAGTAGGTAGTCCATGGCGGGAAGGCCGTTGATGGTGGTGACCTGCGCACCCTCGTAGCGGTAGTAGTCGAACTGGTGGAGCACGAGCGCGGCTACGTCCAATCCCTCTAGCAGCACTGCACAGAGGGGAGGGGGCAGGGGGGAGAAGGGGGGCAGAGGGCGGGGGGAAAGAGGAAGAAAGGGGAAGAAAGGGGAAAGGACGGGACGGGGGAGTTGGAAGGAGCGCCGTTGATGGTGGTGAGCTGCGCGCCCTCGTAGCGGTAGTAGTCAAACTGATGGAGGACAAGGGCGGCTACGTCTAAGCCTTCTAGGAGTACTGGTGGGGAGGGAAGAGAGAAGGGGGGGACGAGAGGAGGTGAGGTTGATGGTGGTGAGCTGCGCGCCCTCGTAGCGGTAGCAGTCAAACTGATGGAGGACAAGGGCCGCCACGTCTAGACCTTCTAGGAGGACTGGGGGGAGGGGAGGGGGAAGGGGGGACGGGGGAAGGAAACAGGGCGACGGGGAGTGGGGGTTGTGGCCACCTGAGCGCCCTCGTAGCGGTGGTAGCCAAAGTGGTGGACGACCCGCGCTGCCACGTCCACACCCTCTAGGAGCACTGGGAGGAGGGGAGGGCGGAAGGCGGGTTGGGGGGGAATGGGTGAAAGGGAGAGGAAGGGGTGGGAGGGAGTGGGAGGCGGTTGTAACCACCAGCGGTGCCCGTTGTAGTGGTGGGGGTCGAACTGATGGAGGACCAACGCGGCCACGTCTAGGCCTTCTAGGAGCACTGGTGGAAGGGGAGGGGGAAGGGGGGATGAACAAGCGGGATGAGGGAGGGCGGGTTAAGGGGGAATGGGCGGGGGAGGGAGGGGGGAGGATAAGTGGAGCGAGGGGCAATGGGAGGTCTGGGATTGACGGGAATTGGGACTGAGGCACAGGGGAATCACGAATGAAGCGCGGAAAGGGCAGGGAGGAAAATGCACGCGAATGTAGCCACTCACGCGACGACGGCGCGACGCGGATGATCTGGTTACCGTCCTCAACGACGGCGACGAGCGGCAGGGGGAGATAGTAGGACGCGGTCCGGTGGAAGCACGCGGAGCTGAACATCGTGTGGCCGTCGTTAAGACTCATTAGTGCGCGGTAGATTAATGTCTGGAACCGCATCAGGCTCTTAATCCCCTTTCCCGCTAACGCCTTCTCTCGAATCCCGCGGAGGTAGGTCACTATATCGACGTCGCTCGGGAGGCGCGAATCAGGGGAGTTAATCGCGATGTGTCTGTAAACGTAGAAGCTGGCTAAACCGTTAATGATCGAGTCTATAACGGGGATATCGCGCGACGCGACGAAGCGGAAGGAGCGGAGGCAGTGCTTTGCTTGTGACGGCGTCGCGAAGCCCACGCCGACAGTCCCGGGCACGACGCGCGCGGTCGCCGCCAGCTGCTCCGCCAGCAGTGCGCATTGGTCGCCCTGCGGCCGCGCCTTGGCGGAGATTTGCCGGGGGGCGGGGGAGAAGACGGCGGAGAGGAGGAGGGGGAGGAGGAGGGAATGGAGAGATCGGCGGAGGCGGAATCGCGGCGGGGCGCCGGCAACGAGATGTTGCCGCGGCCGAGACGATTTGCGTTGACTCGGCGCGCAGTGGGACCTAGCCGCTGCAACGTCAGCCATGCGAACGAGTGGTTCAGGTCAGCGATTACTGTTGTAAGGTGCTGCGACAAGCGAAGAGTAACTACGTAACTAATCTCGAGGCTTGAAACGAGCGTAACGAGGCGAAGCTCTCGAGACGGCCCATTGTGCGACGAGCGCGACGAGTAACGACTGCGACCCGAGTCAAGCTAGCGCCCTCCAAATCACCATCCGAGCCGGCAGCGCTTGTAAAAAAAGCCTATCACTCACGGCAGCCATGGCGCGTGCTGCACACGCGCCCACCAGAGGCTGTCTTACTCGCATCGCATTGCACGCTTCGAGGCTGGGGCTGGCACTACTAGATACTGCGTAAGCGGGTCGGCGTAGCAACGGCCACGTGGAATCGCGGAGCAACAAACAATATCCGATTAACACAGACCGCACGTCTGTTTCAAAGCCTAGGAACCTGGTGCAATGCACCTTGTGCACGCGGGTCGTCGTTGCGCGGCGGCTAATAGAGGGCGGCGCGAATTAGGTGGGTCGTAGGGGCGAGGCGGACGAGAGGCGCTAATTTAGAGGCGGACGGAGGAGGAGGAGGGGAAGCAAGGTCTCGTCGTTGCGGGGGGGAGAAACAGCGCCTTGCCTGCGTGGCGGAAAAGTTCGTTCCCCAATTTGCGAGCGGGCCAATGTGTAGCGGGGGCGCTAACAGCGCCATGTGGCCAATCAGGATCCAGAGCCAGCCCCACCAAAACCTGCCCTGGGCGCTTGGGAGTGGTGGAGTAGTGGTCGCGCTTCGGTGTGTGCGGTGCAGAGCTATGTGCTACAGTGCGAAAAAATATACACTGCGAAAAGGACTAATAGCGATAATCTACAACTGAGTGGAACTTAAAACATAGCATTCTTAGGCATTAACGAAGCATCTACTTGTCAGCAGTGGCAGGATGACCCTTCCAGCGAAAGTTCTCCGCGTATGATTTGGGCTGCATGGAGGGATGATGAGAAGAAAAAATTCCATAAGTATGCATGCTAGATTACTGGATTTTGAAAGCACAAGTAGCAAGTAAGTATGCATGAGAAAATCTGCGTGCCATGTTTCCTGGGTGCAGGAAATTGGGCAGAAGGGTCTGGGAGAGCAGAAGGGGAGTAGGGTGTAAGCTATATGCAGTTTTACCTTCTTAATTGGCTTCTGCGGCTCGAGGACCTGAAAGCACAGAGGCGACACCAGGAAAATAAATACAATAAAAGGTTATCCCAGGCAGAGACTTGTTAGCCATGCCGCACAACACACACATTGGCAAAGGGAATGAAACGAGAAACAAGCATGATGAAGCGATGGGGACAGTTGACATTTACATTGACATTGACATTTACAGTACCTGCTGAACCATGCCACCCCAGGCACCATTCTGCCAGATATATGGTGGTGCTGCCATGCCACATACCTGGTACCGCCAAATACCTCAAGCACACGTTCAGCAAAGTTACAAGTGCCACGTACGTGGTACAGTTGAATACCTGGTAATGCCAGCCGTGGCGTTCAACCAAGTCAACAGCATCCTGCTTGGCCTGGTGGAACGAGAGGGCAAAATCTGCCAGATACCCAGTGGTACTGCTAGGTACCCAGTGGTACTGCTAGATACCCAGTGGTACTGCCATCCACGTACCTGGTAGTGCCAGCCGTGGCGTTCAACAAGTCAACAGCGTCCTGCTAGCATCACAGGCACACTTCGCACCACATACCTGGTACTGCCACGTGCCAGGCACAGCTGAACACAGTCAACGGCAGTCAATACCTGGTAGTGCCAGCCGTGGCGTTCAACAAAGTCAACAGCAGTGTGGGGCAGACACCAGACACATGGAGTAAAGTTCAACAAAGTCAACGGCGTTCACTACCTGGTAGTGCCAGCCATGGCGTTCAACAAAGTCAACAGCGTCCTGCTTGGAGTGGAAGGAGAGGGCTGAATCTGCCACACATGACATGGGGTCCGCTGTTGATGTCCACCCCATGAGGGGGTTCTCCCACCTGCATGCAGAGATGAGTAACAGCACACATACATGCCATGGGGTCACGTTTGAGTTGACTCAAAAGGAAGGAGAGCGCGTGGTCAGCCGGGTCAGCCACACATGCCATGGGGTCCGCTGTTGATGTCCACCCCATGAGGGGGTTCTCCCACCTGCACGCCGCGATGCATCACACCACACAGACATGCACATCACGAGGCACACAATGCACTCTTGAGTTGACTCAAAGGGAAGGAGAGGGCGGAGTCTGCCACACATGCCATGGGGTCTGCCATTGACGTCCACTCCATCAAGGGATTCTCCCACCTGCATGCCGACATGTAATTAATACACAATATGCATGCGGAGGTGCATAACAGCACATAGAACGCACAAAGAGAGACACAATGGACATCAAGACACACAGTGCACATAGCGACATGCCCACACAGTGCACATAGCGACATGCACACACAGTGCACATAGCGACATGCACACACAGTGCACATAGCGACATGCACACACAGTGCACATAGCGACATGAGTGCACATAGCGACATGCACACACAGTGCACATAGCGACATGCACACACAGTGCAGTGCACATAGCGACATGCACACACAGTGCACATAGCGACATGCACACACAGTGCACATAGCGACATGCACACACAGTGCAGTGCACATAGCGACATGCACACACAGTGCACATAGCGACATGCACACACAGTGCACATAGCGACATGCACACACAGTGCACATAGCGACATGCACACACAGTGCACATAGCGACATCCACACACAGTGCACATAGCGACATGCACACACAGTGCACATAGCGACATGCACACACAGTGCACATAGCGACATGCACACACAGTGCACATAGCGACATGCACACACAGTGCAGTGCACATAGCGACATGCACACACAGTGCACATAGCGACATGCACACACAGTGCACATAGCGACATGCACACACAGTGCAGTGCACATAGCGACATGCACACACAGTGCACATAGCGACATGCACACACAGTGCACATAGCGACATGCACACACAGTGCACATAGCGACATGCACACAGTGCACATAGCGACATCCACACACAGTGCACATAGCGACATGCACACACAGTGCACATAGCGACATGCACACACAGTGCAGTGCACATAGCGACATGCACACACAGTGCACATAGCGACATGCACACACAGTGCACATAGCGACATGCACACACAGTGCACATAGCGACATGCACACACAGTGCACATAGCGACATCCACACACAGTGCACATAGCGACATGCACACACAGTGCACATAGCGACATGCACACACAGTGCACATAGCGACATGCACACACAGTGCACATAGCGACATGCACACACAGTGCAGTGCACATAGCGACATGCACACACAGTGCACATAGCGACATGCACACACAGTGCACATAGCGACATGCACACACAGTGCAGTGCACATAGCGACATGCACACACAGTGCACATAGCGACATGCACACACAGTGCACATAGCGACATGCACACACAGTGCACATAGCGACATGCACACACAGTGCACATAGCGACATCCACACACAGTGCACATAGCGACATGCACACACAGTGCACATAGCGACATGCACACACAGTGCACATAGCGACATGCACACACAGTGCAGTGCACATAGCGACATGCACACACAGTGCACATAGCGACATGCACACACAGTGCACATAGCGACATGCACACACAGTGCACATAGCGACATGCACACACAGTGCACATAGCGACATGCACACACAGTGCAGTGCACATAGCGACATGCACACACAGTGCAGTGCACATAGCGACATGCACACACAGTGCACATAGCGACATGCCCACAGATGTGCACATAGCGACATGCACACACAGTGCACATAGCGACATGCACACACAGTGCACATAGCGACATCCACACACAGTGCACATAGCGACATGCACACACAGTGCACATAGCGACATGCACACACAGTGCACATAGCGACATGCACACACAGTGCAGTGCACATAGCGACATGCACACACAGTGCACATAGCGACATGCACACACAGTGCACATAGCGACATGCACACACAGTGCACATAGCGACATGCACACACAGTGCAGTGCACATAGCGAGATGCACACACAGTGCACATAGCGACATGCCCACAGATGTGCGTGCCGATATGGACAAAGATATGCGCATAGCCCAAGAGGATATGCACATAACAACACACAATGCATACGGTGACATGCACGCAGACATGTAGATAAGGGCACACATAGGCAAGCCATATACGTGCACACACACGTGCACACAAATGCGCACAGAACAAACATGAAAGGAATCTCACTTTGAAGTGGTATCGAATCGAATCTTCCACTGCCCATGCCGCCCCATGCCCTGCTGCGACGCGGCTCGCGCGGGACTGTACACCACTACCTGCGGGCGGGACAACCCCACACAAGAGAGGGGGGAGGGTGTGTGAGCGACAACGGAGGGAGAGGGAGGGGGGCGAGGGAGTATGGCCGTCTGCGACGCGGCTCGCGCGGGACTGTACACCACCACCTGCAAAAATTCCCCACGCCACGCCAGCAACACAGCCACGCAGAGAGCGGGAGGGAGGTTGAAGAGTGCGCGTGCGGGAATGTGGGGGTTGGGAACGGGGGCGGAGGGGAAGAAGGGGAAAGGGAGAGGGAGGCAGGAGGGGAGAAGCTGGCGCTGGATGGACGGCACGTGAAAACAGAAGTGTTTTGAGACGTCTCAAAGCACGATCCGTGCGTGGAGCAGAAAGACAGCCGTTCCGAAAGGCGGGTCTGTCCGACGGATGGTCTAACGAGCTACCGAGACAACGACGGCTTCGATATAAGCACATATTGAACTAGCTCTGATGTTGTGTGTCCCGAACCCCCACCGTTTCGCGTCACGATTTCCGAAACTGCACCTTCCGCTGAAAGCTGTTTTTTAGTAGAATCTAAAATCGCCACGATCCCCCGAAACCGCACCTTCCGCTGGAGCTGCTCCTTGGGAATGCCGGACACCTCCGCCGCTTCCGCCTTCCCCACCGCGGAGCGCTGCGCGGAGGTCGTCAGCGCGCGGAGCTGCGGGAGCGCCGTGCGCGCGAGGGAGAAGCCGCGGCGGTTGAGCGCGGCGGCCATGGCGGCGGGAAAAGCGGCGGATGCGGGCAGCGCAGCGAGTCGGGGGGTGTGAGCGGAAATGAAACGGCTACCGGCGGATGTGGCGACGCTCGCTGCGAGACGGAGGCTGATCTTGGAGTGATGCTCTTCGCTTGGCTTGTCGCCCAGTGTGATGCTCACTGGGGTTACCGCAAGACTTTGGAGATTGACGCTGAACTCGATAAGATCCTTCCCGCGCTTAGAGTACACGATCAAATAAAGGACCTAGTTATCATGCTGTAAAAGCAAGAAGTAGCATCTACACAAGGTCAATTCTACCACAACAAAACACCTTCCTAGACAGCAGATCCTAATGCCCGAGCACATTTACAGAACCACACACCTCGTACGCTAATAAATTCAACGTGGCTCCTACATCAGCTAGTTAATCATACCAGTGTTATGCCATAACCCCCCTTTCCCATATGAGAGACACAACGTACTATGTGTCGTGCTGAGGCATGGTTGGAACTGCTATTACCTACGCTTCCCTCATTTCCTGCCATTTATTCCATCAATCGTCGCACACCACACCAATCGCAACAGCGTTACAAAATGGTACAGCACCCGCCCTTCGCCGCTTCATTGGACGGTGCTGCGGCCGCCCCAGCCGCCCCTGCTTTCTTCCCGGCCGCCGCCGCCTCGCTCGCCCCAGCCCCAGCAGCCGCCTCCTTGGCCTTCCTAGCAGCTTCCTCCTCTGCCTGCTGCTTCTTCTTCTTCTCCTCCTCAGCCTTTTCTTTCGCCTCTTTCTCTGCCTTCTCCTTCTCCTTCTCCAGCCGCTCCTTCTCCTTCTGGGCCTCCTGCTTCCCCTCCCACTCCACCACCGCATCGGCCGCCGCCTCGCAGATATCCATCAGCGCCGGGATCACCTCCTCCGTCAGATCCGGCCGATCTCGGCGGTCCATTTCCGCGCACCACAGCCCCAGGTTCGCAAGATCCAGCGCCAGGTTCGGCGGCCACTCGCCGGCTCGGGGATCCAGCACCACTGTCAACTCCTCCTTTTCCACCATAGCATCGATCCTCTTCAGGTTCGGCACCTCCCCAACCAGCATCTGCAGCAGCACCACTCCGAACGAATACACGTCCGATTTCGGCCCGAGGTACCCCCTCCTCGCACACAGATACTCAGGATCGACATAATGCTCCGTCCCGACAATGACTGATTTCCGCACCACGTGGGAGTGGCCGGGAGCGAGGTCGCCCATGAGGCGAGCGAGGCCCACGTCGCCGAGCTTGGCGGTGAAGTGGTCGTCCAGGAGCACGTTGGCTGGCTTCACATCGCGATGCACGATGGGCGGCTTGCGCGTGTGCAGGTGCTGCAGGCCTGCCGCGATCTGGCGAGGGGAGGGGAGAGGGACGACCGGGAGAGGGGAAGGGAATGAGGAGCACGTTGGCTGGCTTCACATCGCGATGCACGATGAGCGGCTTGCGCGTGTGCAGGTGCTGCAGCCCTGCCGCGATCTGGTGGGTGTGGAGAGGGAGGAGGTGGGGGAGGGAAGGAAGGGAGGAAGAGGGGAACGGGGAAAAATGGGAACGGGGAAACCAGGGAAAAAAGGAATGGAGGAATGAGTGAGGGAGGGGGATTCACCTTGCAGGGCCTCTCTCAATCCCCAGCCACATCTTAAACCGAACCCTGAACTAGATCAAACCGTTGACGAACAACCACAACTCTGAAACCTAACCCCCAGCTGCTCACCTCCATGGCAATGCGGCAGCGTTCGGGCCACTGGAGGGGCGGCACCCCCCCAATACACAGAAGGCGGTCCTCGAGGGAGCAGTTGGCCATGAACTCGTAGACCAGCGAGGGGTCCTCCCTGCAGTACCCTCTCACCCCACTCTACCGCACCCCACCCTACCCCATCTGCTTGCAAGTTGCACCCCGCTCAGCTCACCTCCATGGCGATGCGGCACCTCTCGGGCCACTGCAGCGGCGGCACGCCTCCGATACAGAGCAGACAGTCCTCGAGGGAGCCGTTGGCCATGAACTCGTACACCAGCAAGCGGTCCTCCCTGCAGTACCCCACTCCACCCCACCCCACTGCACCCCACCCACCCGCTAGCATGTTGCCACCCCCAGCTGCTCACCTCCATGGCGATGCGGCAGCGCTCGGGCCACTGCAGCGGCGGCACGCCCCCGATGCAGAGCAGGCGGTCTTCAAGAGACCCATTGGCCATGAACTCATAAACCAGCGAGCGGTCCTCCCTGCAGTACCCCACCAGGCGCACCGCGTTGGGGTGGTCTATGCGCTTCTGCACCTCCATCTGTGGTGCTCCCAGTGGAGGGGGGAGTGGCGGGGATAGGGAGAGACGACGGAGGGAGAGAGGGTGGATGGGGAGAGGGAGGGAGGGGGACCAGGACGATGGGAGGAAGGAGTGGAGAAAGGGGGAAAGGGAGGGGGAGGGACAGGAACGGGTGAGGCAGGAGGGGGGGAGCCGTTGGCCATGAACTCGTAGACCAGCGAGCGGTCCTCCCTGCAGTACCCCACCAGGCGCACCGCGTTGGGGTGGTCTATGCGCTTCTGCACCTCCATCTGTGGTGCTCCCAGTGGAGGGGGGAGTGGGGGAGGAGGAGGGGAAGAGGGAGCGAGAGAGGGTGGATGGGGAAAGGGAGGGACAAGGGCCGGAGGGATGGGAGGAAGGAGCGGAGAAAGGGGGAAAGGGGAAGGGGGAAAGCAAGAAAAGGTCAAGAGCGGGTGAGGCAGGAGGGGGGGAGCCGTTGGCCATGAACTCATAGACCAGCGATCGGTCCTCCCTGCAGTACCCCACCAGCCGCACCGCGTTCGGGTGGTCTATGCGCTTCTGCACCTCCATCTGTGCTCCGTGCGTTTGGGAAGTGGGGGGGAGGGAAACGGAAGGGAAGAGGGGTGGAGAAGGAGAAACGCCATGGGCTGCCTGTCTACCAACCTTTGCCCACCAGTCAGCCCCCACCAGTCAGCCCCTAAGTCACACACACCCCACCGCAACCCACATACCTCACTGGGAACCCGAAAGCCTAAACCCTCCCTGTCGATCTCATCGAGAGCCGCCTTCACATCAGGATTCTTGAGCTGCTTCACAGCCATCGTCTGCCCGTCAATCATGCCCTTATACACCACGCCGTAGCTGCCACAAGCATCATTGCACCCCAGCCACAACCCACCAACCACCCCGTCAGCCACACCCCACCACCAGCCTCCCTGTCGATCTTGTCAAGAGCAGCCTTCACGTCGGGGTTCTTGAGCTGCTTCACAGCCACAGCCACCAAGTTATCATCCCCCCACCGCCAACCACCATCTTACCTCCCTGTCGATTTCATCGAGAGCAGCCTTCACGTCGGGGTTCTTGAGCTGCTTCACAGCCACGGTCTGCCCGTCAATCATGCCCTTATACACCACGCCGTAGCTGCCCTCGCCGCACACGTGGTTGGGCCAGAAGTGCTCGATGGCGGCCTGCAGCTCCTCCAGAGTGAACTCTTTGAATGGCTGCCTCCGAGCGCCCTCTGCCGGCTCCACCACCTGGAGAGGCCTCGTGAGCGGATTCTTGTCTGAGGGCACCTTGCGGCCCGAGGAGCCCTCGCGCTCCGCCATCTTCTTCTCGAGGCGAGCCTGGAGTGAGGGAAGCAGGTGGCGAAGGAAAGAAGCAATAGAAGGTGGAAAATGAGGAGGAGAGACCAAGGTTGGGCCAGAAGTGCTCGATGGCGGCCTGCAGCTCCTCCAGAGTGAACTCTTTGAATGGCTGCCTCCGAGCGCCCTCTGCTGGCTCCACCACCTGCAGCGGCCTCGTGAGCGGATTCTTGTCTGAGGGCACCTTGCGCCCGGAGGAGCCCTCTCTCTCTGCCATCTTCTTCTCGAGGCGAGCCTGGAGTGAGGGAACGGGGAAAAGGGAGACGGAAGAGGAAGCAGGAGGAAGCAAGGGCAGTGGGTGTGAGTGGGACGGCTCGACCACCAGCCGCCTGCAGCCTGCAGCTCCTCCAGAGTGAACTCTTTGAACGGCTGCCTCCGCGCACCCTCTGCGGGCTCCACCACCTGCAGCGGCCTCGTGAGCGGATTCTTGTCTGAGGGCACCTTGCGGCCCGAGGAGCCCTCGCGCTCCGCCATCTTCTTCTCGAGGCGAGCCTGGAGTGAGGGAAGCAGGTGGCGAAGGAAAGAAGCAATAGAAGGTGGAAAATGAGGAGGAGAGACCAAGGTTGGGCCAGAAGTGCTCGATGGCGGCCTGCAGCTCCTCCAGAGTGAACTCTTTGAATGGCTGCCTCCGAGCGGCCTCTGCTGGCTCCACCACCTGGAGAGGCCTCGTGAGCGGATTCTTGTCTGAGGGCACCTTGCGGCCCGAGGAGCCCTCGCGCTCCGCCATCTTCTTCTCAAGGCGAGCCAGGTGTGAGGGAATTGGGAGAGGGGAGAGGGGAGAGGGAGCAAGAGGAAGGGAGAGGAGGCAAGAGGGAGCAAGGGCACAGGATGTGAGTGGGAGGGTTCCACCACCTGCAGCGGCCTCGTGAGCGGGTTCTTGTCTGAAGGCACCTTGCGGCCTGATGAGCCGTCTCTCTCCCATCTTCTTCTCCAGCCGAGCCTGTGGTGGAGGAGAAGGGAGAGGGAGCAAGGACAGTGGGTGTGAGCGGGAGGGTTCAACCACCCACCACCTGCAGCGGCCGCATGAGCGGGTTCTTGTCTGACGGCACCTTGCGGCCTCCTGATGAGCCCTCCCTCTCCGCCATCTTCTTTTCGAGGCGGGCCTGGTGGGAGGTGAATACACGGGAGAGAGAGGGAAGAGCGGAGAGGAGGGCAGAGGAACTAAGGGCACTGGGAGTGAGTGGGACGGCTCCAGAGGAGGGAAGAGAGAGGAAAGGAGAGGAAAGGCGAGACCGAGCACTGGCGCAGAGGGACTGGCAAAGGAAGGAATCCGATACTGCTCATCGCAATGTTTTATGCGCCTCAAAAGCCAAATATTCGGGCTGCTATTGAGGTGGCTTAGAGGGACCGGTAACGGGACGGAGTACGTACGTGGTAGCGTTTTCCACAGTCTACCATGAAACAGGAAATGCGCCCGCCAAGGACGGTTCCTTGGCAGCCATGAGACCGGCCAAGGGTTTCTTTCTTTCTTCTTCCTTGGCCGGCCCTCGGGCGGCACAGCACGGCACTACCGCTCCTGCCTGCTGTGCCTGTGTGTGAGTGTGATTTGTTTCCCTTTCACAGTCTATCACAAGACAGGAAGGCATTACCACCCACCTTGGCACCAGCCGATGGCTTCTTCTTCCTTGGTCGGTCTTTGGGCGGCACTCCCCTTCCTGCCTCTGTGTCTCTCTGTGTGTGGGTGACTTTGCTTTCTTTCGCAGTGTACCACAAGACCTGAGGGCAATTCAACCAACCTTGGCGCCAGCAGATGGCTTCTTCTTCCTCGGCGGGTCCTTGGGCGGCACTCCCCTCCCTCCTATGTGTGTCTGTGTGTTTGTGAATGTGTTTCTCTTTCACAATCTAGCATGGGACAACAAGGAGGTACGACTGACCTTGGCGCCAGCAGATGGCTTCTTCTTCCTTGGTCGGTCTTTGGGCGGGACTCCTCCTCCCGGTCCCCCTGCCGCCGCCCCTCCTCCTCCTGCTGCTGCTCCTCCTGCTGCAGCGCCCCCAGACCCTCCCCCTCCGCTGCCTGCCCCAGCAGCAGCTTTGGCCTTAGCAGCATACGCCCTTCGAGCAAGCTCCAAAGCAGACAGCCCCTCCTCGTTCTTCCCCGCACCCTCCCCTCCCCCCTCCGCCGCCCCCCCCTCCGCCTTCCCAGCCCCTTCCCCTTCCGCTCCTCCCTCTGCTGCGGCCTCCTTTTCTCCCGCGTCCCCTTCCCCTTCCCCTTCCCCCTCCCCCGCCCCGCTGCCCCCCTGTGCTTCTCCCTCTTCCTGCACGCCGCTCCCCCCCTCCTGGATGTCTGGCAGCTTCTTGTTGAGCGCTGTGCCGTGGAACACGCGTGCTGGGGGAGGGACGGGCTGGGATGGGGGGGGGGGGGGGGTTGGGGAGGGGAGAGGGGGGAGAAGGAGACGAGTGAGAGGTGAACCGAGAAGTTAGAAAGGGTACCCCCCCCCTCCTGGATGTCTGGCAGCTTCTTGTTGAGCGCTGTGCCGTGGAACACGCGTGCTGGGGGAGGGACGGGCTGGGATGGGTTGGAATCGTGGGAAAAGGAGGAGAGGAGGAGTTGGGAGAGATAGGGGAAACGGGGATGGGGGTAAAGCGTAAGGGCAGCAAAAGGGGACGGGGTGCATGGGGGACAGTGCAAGCACGTGCGGGGCATGTGAGGAGAGAGAGAGCGGATGAATGCAGGAACAACTCATCTTAACGGGAAAGAGTGGGTGAATGGCGAGAAGGACTCACCTTAGCGGGCGCCTGCTCCTTGCTCTGCACGGTTTTCAGCTTCTTACCGCTCTGCACCACATAGAGTGACGCTCCGAGCGGGAGAGAGCGTATGAACGCTAGGTAGTTCTCACCTTGGCGGGCGCCTGCTCCTTGCTCTGCACGGTTTTCAGCTTCTTGCCGCTCTGCACCACATAGAGCGACGCACCGGGCGGCAGCACCTCCTCCCTCGCGCACACGTTGATGGTCTTCCACCTGCCATGCCGTGGGGGGTGGGGATGAGGGGTGGGGGTTGGGGGGTAGGGAGGGGAGGGGGTTCGGTGGTGGTGACGCAGGGTTGTTAGGATGGTGGTTCGTGGTGGTTGGAAGGTTGAGGTTCACATGAAGCATGACGGCATTTGGCGGTTAGAGCCTTCTCCCTCGCGCACACGTTGATGGTCTTCCACCTGCCATGCCGTGGGGGGTGGGGATGAGGGGTGGGGGGGGTGGGGGTTCGGTGGTGGTGACGCAGGGTTGTTAGGATGGTGGTCTGTGGTAGTTGGAAGGTTGAGGTTCACATGAAGCATGACGGCATTTGGCGGTTAGAGCCTCCTCCCTCGCGCACACGTTGATGGTCTTCCACCTGCCATGCCATGGGAGGTGGGGGCGACATGGAGGTTGGGGGGGGAGGGGGAGGGGAGGGGGTGTGACGGAGGATTGTTAGTTAGGATGGTGGTGCATGGTTGGTGGTTGATAGGGTGTGTGTGGTTCGGATGGGGCCATGAGGGCATGCGGTGGAGGGGGGAGTGGAGGGGGAGGATTGGTCGACTCAAAGATCGCCTCATCAGAGTGGTACTATTCTGGACATTTAAGGCGTTGTGGTCCACGCCATTCCGGATCCGTTCAACGGTCAACTGCGTTCACCAGCCAACTCACTCGCCGATGGGCTTCTTGGGAATGCTGGCCAGCACGATGGCCCTCACCTCCAGCTGCCTAAGTTGTGTATGTTGCCTATGCTGCCTATGTTTGAGTCGACTCAGGTTTTGAGACGTCTCAACAAAACTTGACTCGAGAATCGACTCACTCAACTCAAGAATCAACTCACTCGCCGATGGGCTTGTTGGGAATGCTGGCCAGCACGACGTGCGTCGCCTCCAGCTTCTGCGCCACCTCGAGAATGGCGCCGCCCTTGTCCTCGTTCTTTATCACGTGCACCGTCGACGGCAGCTGGGGGGGTGGATGGGGGGTGAAGGGGGGGGGGGGAAGGGGGAGTTGGGGAAAGAGTGGGGAGAGAGATCAGAAAGAGAGAGAAAGACAGGGGTTGCCCGAGGATGGCTCCGCCCTTGTCCTCGTTCTTGCTCAAGGGTGGGGAAGGAAGAAAACGGGGGAAGCAAGAGCGCGGTTGCAGGGGGGTGGGAAACGAAGATAAGAGAAGGGTGGGAGAGAATACGGGCCCCGTCTAGCACCACTTCTCATCCAACGCCACGCACGCCTACGCCTCATGTCTACTTCCACCCACCCCGCCCTCCCCCCGTCTCCAACGCCTTGTCTGAAGCCACTCGTCCCCAGGTCTCATGTCTAAGGCCACTCGCGCTGGCGTTTCATGTTGAAATCCACTCGTCCCCTCGTCTCGCGTGCGAAGCCACCCACTCCCACGTCGCCATGCCAAAGCCATCCGCGCCCACATCTCATGTCATGCCCACTACGTAAGCAAATCCTTCCCGCGCCTCTATCTAAAGTTAAGCCACACCTCGCCCGAGCCCCGTATCTAAAGCCACTCGCCTGCATGCCTCTCCCACGCTTCACTTCTAAAGTCACTCACCCCGGCGTCGTCGCTGACGTCTTGCAGACTCTCGAGGTACGGCAGCACGCGGTCGCATATGTCCACCGCCACGCTTGCAGTCTCACCGCATGCTTACAGCCTCACCACTCCCATGCCTCACAGCTCAAGCCACTCATCCGCACGTCTCATATCTAAAGCCACTCACCCTCATATAAGCAAAGCCACTCACCCCGGCGTCGTCGCTGACGTCCTGCAGGCTCTCGAGGTACGGCAGCACGCGGTCGCATATGTCCACCGCCACGCTTGCAGTCTCACCGCATGCTTACAGCCTCACCACTCCCATGCCTCACAGCTCAAGCCACTCATCCGCACGTCTCATATCCAAAGCCACTCACCCCCACATAAGCAAAGCCACTCACCCCGGCGTCGTCGCTGACGTCCTGCAGGCTCTCGAGATACGGCAGCACGCGGTCGCATATGTGCACCGCCACGCTCGGGCTGTCCGCCTCGCCTAGGCGCACCAGCTTGCCCGCTGGAGAGGGAGAGAAAGGGGGGGAATCGGGGGAGGAACGGGGAAGGAAGGGGGTTAGCTGGCGGCGTGGTCGCATTTGTGCGCCGCCACGCTCGGCTAGCCGTCTCGCTCAGGCGCACTAGCTTGCCCGCTGGATAGGGGAAGCAAGGGCGGAGTGGGGAAAGGAAGAACGGGGAAGGAAGGGGGTTCGCTGGCAGCACGCGGTCGCATGCCACGCCCGCTTGGGGAAGGAGGAGAGTTTTTTTTTCTGGTTTGGCGGAGTTACGGCGGGAGGAGGAAGGGGCAGATAGAAAATGAATAGCCAGCGAGAGAAGAGGGAGACACGGAAGTCCTGAGAGGGAGCTAAGAACGGAAAGAATTGGAGGTGATGAGACAGGGCGCAAGCGTGTTGCGACAAGGTGCGAGCGTGTTGCGAAAGTGTCCGACTTTTCACGACAGGGTGCGAACGTATTACAACAGGGTGCGACCGCGTTGCAACAGCGTGCGAGGGTGTTACGATAGGGTGCGCGCAAGGCGTAAGGGACAAAACGAGAGAGAAACATAACGAAATAAACGAGGGGTGTCTGTAGGAGAGAAGTGCAAAGGGTGGTGCAATCGTTCTGCGACTTGATCTTCGAGCGTACCTGACGCATCGAAGCTCTTAATTGACGTACATTGCAAACAGAGACCCTTAATAATGACTCGCTGACAATATCTCGTCCTTAATTTCGATCGCTATTAAACACCCAGTTGATAAAAGCTCGTTGATTATGAGGTCCTCGCTACAGCAGCGCACCTGTATTGCGAAGTTCCGTCACGATATGCGTGAGGAGCAGACACACGCTCGCATCCTTGCGCTTTCCGAATTCCTTAATCGTCCAGTCTAGGGCTTCTCGGCAGTGCTGGTCGTCCCGCATCGCCACCAGCACTTTAATATCCGCAGTGACGTCCATGGCACCTTCAGACTAATATACCCTATATACTTCAGTTACTACTTCTGTATGTTAGTGAAGTAAGTGAGTTGCGATGCTTCGGTGCCTATCTAGAACCGCTACAATGTGTTCGCACGGGATGGTTAGCAACGGGTTACAAGTTCGCCGAGAGACTTCACTTTTCTCTTATAGGACCGAGTTTTAACATTTCCGCGGAAAAGCTTTGACCTGCGACTAAGGCGATTGGTCTGTCAGACAGGAAAACGGCAATGTCCCTAGAGACCAGAAGCTAGAAAATCAAGACAGAAGAGGCGAGCAGGAACCAAGTCCCAAGGAAGGAACAAAGTCCAAGGGACGAAAAAAACAAGGGGGTCCCAACTTTCCAAGGGCCCAGCCAGATAGAAACAAAGTCCCAGGCGGGGCGAGGGAGAAACAACAAAGCCCGAGGAAAGCAGGCGGCTGGACGACCCAATCCCGAGGGAAGAAGAACCAAGTCCAAGGGCCAGGGAAGGGAGTGAACTGCCTGCCACTCTGCGAGCCAAACAAAACCCGAGAGACAACCGCCGTCGCTGGCTTGCGCGTGCCGCGGCTTGAGCTGTCGTGGCGGGAAGGAGAGTGCTGCTGTGGCAGGTGCTGCTTGATAACGAGGGAATCTAGGTGAAGCTTCCATTCGATTGAGTCACGTGAGGTTTGGGCATTCCGAAGCTGTGCCTTGCCTAAGATAACAAACCGAATTTCCAGAACACCACATGTTGTTGTGCTGCACTGGAGCAAAAAAACAAATGATACAGTAGATATGTTCATCAAACCTCACCATATTTGGTCTGTAGACTCACCTCACCTGTCAAATTTTCCATTTCATTGCATTTCAGCAATTCCTAAACAATTTCCCTTGCTTTCTCTAGAAAAAAATCTGGAATTGGAAAAAGCACCGTAAATATCAATCTCCAATAATTCATTATCTTCTACCGCCTGTGCTTGTCCTCTTCATCTTCTCGCCGCCCGGCTCTTGCTCCACCAGGGCCTGTGGTTGCGGCTGTGGCTGGCCTCCTGCTAGCTTCTTCATAATTCTCTCCCTCTGCTCAGCCTGCTGCTGTGGCGTCGGCGGCTGCCTCTTCTCTGCTCGAGAGCCCTGCTGCTGCTGCTGATCCTTGCCTGGCTTACGCGCAGAGCCACTGCTACTCCCACCCGCCCCACCACCCCCAACAGCGCTGCTGGCATTGCTCATAGTCGAACCAGAATACCTATGCCCTTGCCTATCCCCGCCTCCTCCACCCCCACTCACACCCCCACCCCTCGCTCCCCCTCCCTCTCCCAAATTCTGCCTCCGCATCCTCTCACTCAACCGACTCTCATCAGGTGACGGCGCCCGCACCTCTCTCCCCCCGTCATACTCCCCTCCGCCACCCGGCCTCCTGCCTCCCGGCCCCGCTCTCTGCCTGATCTCAGGTACATCCTCAGACAGCAATCGCATGCCTCTATGCGACCGTGCCCCTGGCCCCAGCAGCATCTTACTTGATGGGGTTGGCGGGCCGTTAACACCGCCCGTGCTCATGCTGCTGGCCCACATTGGCGGCTGCCCGGGAGGAAAATTTCCGGGCAGATTAGGGTTTGAGGCAGGGGGCGGCGGCATGGAGTGGGGAGGAGCGGGGCCGGATGGGGGCCCTTTGCGCTGCACCTGCAAGCCAAGGTCCTCAAAGACAAAGGCTGCACTCCGGGTGACTGCTGGCTTGCCGGGGGGGAGAGGGCGGACCTGCAGTGGAGGGAGAAGAGGGGAAAAAAAACAGGGTGGTACAGAAGTGCAGGACAGAGGGGAGAGGCGGTGACATTGGGACCGGACAGGGGGGCTTCGCGCTGCACCTGTAGGCCCAGGTCTTCAAAGACAAAGGCTGCGCTCCGAGTGACTGCCAGCTTGCCGGGGGGGAGAGGGCGGACCTGTGGTAAATACAGAAGGGGAGAAAGAAGAGGTTAGGGGGGTAGAATGTTTTGGAATTGCAAAACGGGGATGAAGAGGTGAAGAGAGGGGAAAGGGGCGTGGGTTGAGCGACAGGGGGGTTGGATGGGCAGGGTGGGGGGTGGCGGCAATACCCCCACATGCTCCTGCTCCTGCTCGTGAGGTGTTTTGAGGAGCCTCAAAAGCGATCATGCACCCGCCTATTCCTATTCCTATTCCTACTCATGAGGCGTTTTGAGGCGCCCCTTGACTGAATATGCACCCACCTGATCCAGTTCCTGCTCGTGGGCGTCATCTGCCGCCAGAGACCACTCCGGCTGACGTTTGAATCAACTTTGACTCACCTGAACTCACATGTCGACTCAAAGCCGGCGCCTGACAAGAGAATATGCACCCACCTGATCCAGCTCTTGCTCGTGAGCGTCATCAGCCACGAGCGACCGCTCCAGCTGACTTGTGAGTCGCCTGGAGTCAAAAGCGGCGCTTCAAAAGTGACCATGCACACACCCACCTGGTCCAGCTCTTGCTCGTGGGCGTCATCAGCCACCAGAGACCGCTCCAGCTTCACTCCTCCCGGTCCCTGCTCTCCGCCCCCCATCTCTCCCCCGCCTCCCCAACCCGGCCTCCCCCAATTCCCTCCCCCTACCCCTTGCTGCCCCTGCCACCCGCCCTGCATCCCCCCCTGCATGTTCCCCTGCATTCCGCCCTGCATCCCCGCTTGCATTCCGCCCATGTCCTGCTGCCCGCCCCAGCTCCCCCTGCCCCCGTACAAATCGTCGTCAACCGCCCCCACCGCCCCCGCAGGCCCCATCCCTGCGCCCTGGGGCGCCATTCCCCCCATCTGCGCGCCCCACATCCCTCCGCCGCCCCCATTCCCTCCGCCATAGAGATCATCCGCCATGCCCCCCATCTGCGCCTGCTGGGGGTAACCGCGAGCGGGTTGAAAGCCAGGGTAATTAGGCCCAGAACCTGGAGGCATTGCGTTCGAGTACCCCTGAGGGGGGGGCATCATGCCAGGAGGACCCCCAAAGCCGACAGGCATAGATGCCCCCTGGTTGGGGTTGTTAACATGCATCGGCATGCCCTGCTGCTGCATCCCCATCCCCCCGCCCATTGGTCCCCCAGGCATCCCCATTTGCCCCTGCGGATACCCACCCCCAGAGTGCGACCAATTAGCACTGCTCTCCTCTTCCTCCTCCTCACCCTCCTCATCCTCCCCCTCCTCTTCCTCCTCCTCACCCTCTTCCTCCTCATCTTCTTCCTCCTCTTCTTCCTCATCCTCTTCCTCCTCCTCCTCTTCTTCCTCATCTTCCGCCTCTTCCTCCTCCTCCTCCTCCTCATAATCCTCCCCATCCTCAAGCTCCTCCTCTTCATCCTCGTATTCCTCCCCTTCCACCTCCCCCCACTCCCCCTCCTGCTCATACTCCCACTCGCCGCCGCCCCCCGCGTTCCCCGCACCCCCCGCCCATTGCTGACCATACCCTCCGCCGCCTGCCATATCCATGCCCATCGCATTCTGATTCGCATCATACCCGTACTGCGCGCCGATTGGCTGACCAGCCATGCCCATACCTGGGCCGCCCATGCCCACGCCTTGGTTCCCCGGCCCCATACCTCCTTGCATCTGCATCCCCATTGGCGGTCCTCCGACAGCCATTCCCCCTCCCCCCATCATCCCCTGCCCCATCATCCCCATCCCCTGTCCGCCCATCCCCCCCTGCGCGCTCATACTCGCTCCTTGCGCGCCCATCCCTCCGCCACTCCCGCCCCACTGCTGCTGGCCCCCTTGCTGCGCCATGTCCCGCGGACCCCCCGCCGGTTGCCCCGGCCCGCCCATGTTTCCCCGCATCTCCCCCCGATCCCTTTGCCGTCCTTCCGCCGGCCTCTCCGCTCCCGCCTGCCCACGTCCAGCGCCAGCGCGAGGGGGCCCCCGGGACCCGCCGTCGCCAGCACCGCTGCCGGCAGGCGGAGGCGGCCGCATCCGCCTCTCCCCCATCCCTGGCGCATCCGCGCCCGCCGGCCGCGGTCTCTGCGCAGGAGGGCCAGGTCTTACGCCTGCAGCTTTGGGTTTGGCACCCGCGACGGGCGGAGTAGCGCGCTTCGCACCAGGGGCTGGGCGCGCTTTCGGCTTAACCTCACCCGACGCCGCTTGATCCTTCCCCGCGCCTGCCTTCCCCGCTTCGCCCTTTTTCTTCTTAGGTACAATCTTAAGCGGCAGATCCTTGGGAAGCGGTTTCTTCGACCCCTGCGATAGAAGACTGCTAGCTGCGCCAGTCAGCACCTTGGATAAGAAAAAACCACGTCCTTTACTCGACGATTTAGATTCCGTAACATTCTCCTCCTCCTCCACCTCCCACACCGCAACCTCAATCTTCTCGTTGAACGTAACCTTTCGTCTGGGTTCCGACGAGTCGCCCCGTTGCCGGCGCCGCGATTTGTTACCTTTTACAATGCACGGTTTTAAGTCGGGGTACGTCCTTAAAGTGGTCGCCAAGGCCTTATCCGCGGATGCGGAGGTTTTAAAGCTTAGACCGCCAAGGAACGAAAGCCCCTTCTTTTTCTCTGAACTTCCCGTAGGGGTTGTCGCGGTTTCAGCCACACTTGGATCGTTGACTGGGTTGACTTTCAGCTGCCGCGATCCGGTCGACGCGCGCTGAACCACCGGCGGGGGCTCGCTGACCTCTTCGGTTGGCACGATGGGGCTTCCCACACTACTGGAGCGAGGAAACGCGCCTCGGACACTGGCTCGCGGCGGGCCATCCGCCTTTTGCGGCGCCAAAGGCGTTTGTTTATTCGGGCCGGTGTCGGACTTTTTACGGGGAGCGAGGGGCCCGGAATGCGTTTGCGGGGGACGGCTAGGTCTAGGAGACGGTTCCGGAGGCGCACTGCCAACAGGACCGCGCTCTTGCCGCTTGCGTTCCGCCATTTCAGGAAACCTAGGCGGAATAAATAAGCATTTGTTGTTAGGACCAACAACGTTGCTGAGGCAACGATGTTGGTGACAACTCACTGACAGACAACTGATGGGAAAGCTACAAATGCAGACAAGCAATGGTACAGTGCCAAGGACCAAGTGAGAGGAGTGAAACAGAACGATGCGGAGGATAGATAGGATAGACTGGGTGAGCAAGCAGAAGAATGCTTGCTGATGGAGCTCTGCACTGGTTGCTGAGGTTCGGCTGAGGTTCGGTTGATGCTGGTTATTTGTGATGGCTTGTCCGGGGTACGGATGACGTGTTTCCAACGCACCTCGGGGGTTCCGGAGGTGGCCAGAGCTGAAATTTTGAGGTTTGGTGGCACCCGAGCCAACGACATCGGAGTTCACGCGTGAAACTGGTGGAATATCGGTCAACGTACGGTTGGGAAATGATGCATCGCTAAAGAGAACGATGATATAGGATAAAGTGAAACCAAAGTACACAGCAGCTATAGACGGCAGTACACCAATAAGCTCCTGACATGGAGGTTCACAAAAGGTTATATGGATAGATCATCCAGGCCATTGGCTGGTGTGGCCTCGATCTTGCCGCGTGGCTTCTGCCTTGTCAAAAGCAGGCAATCGACTGCACCTTACCCGTGTTACCGTCACCGTGCATTCAACAAACCACTTCCCGTATGTGTGATGGGAGAGTCGCGGTTCAAAGCGGCGAAGTGATTTTACCGCTCTAGATTGCAAGGCATCGTATTGAACCGTTGTTTTAAGAAAGCTAAGAGCTGAAAGCAGATTACAGAGTCTGCTCAAGCCCTTAAAAAAAGTGCAGCCGACTCTGGTTGTGATAAATTTGCTGCTTAGGTTCCAACTGTTCTCCTCGTCAGCAGTCAAAGCCGACGTTTTAGTGTCGAAGCAATGGCTGCCGTCACAATGCAGGCGTCGGTCGCGAGCCGCACACCGTACCTCTTTTTGCCGTCGCGGCCCAGATTCGCATCTGGAGCTCGCCTCGCACGACCGTCGGCAGTCAACGCTAGAATCGTCGTCAATGCTCGTGCGAGTTGCGACCAGCCTGAGGTGCGACCTTTTCTCAGCTTCTCTGGAATGTGCATAAGCCTACTGAAGCACCCTAAGACTTATTCGCGTGTCGACTATGTACATCTGGTCACGATGTACTGACTTAGAGATGGTGTGTCCATGCAAGCAGATGGAAGCAATTCAAACCTTCCTAGCTTCCGTGGGCTGCTTCAGGAATGCGCTAGGGTGCATTAGCAGGTCGTTTCAAGTCTGCATTAGCAGATGATCTTAACCCTAAGTTCACAGCCTTTGACTCTTCGACGCAAATCTGCTTGTTCGTGATCTCTCTCGACCTCTTTCTCCCCATCACGCGATAACAGGTTGCTTCGCCTTTAAGAAGTTCGCTGGTCAACCAATCTTCGCCCCAAGCGAGCATCGATCAAGTACAGGCTCGATCCATTTCCTTGTTCTTTTGTTGTTGTTCTGTTTTGTTTGTTTGTTTTTTTCCCTTCGGGACCTGCTCAGCTGACTTCGTCCTGACCCTGACAAGCGTCAGTTTTTCGTTGCACGTTCTCCCAGTCGTTGATTTTGCACATATGATTCTGTCACATCGCGCTTACTTCGCCATGAATTGCTGTTCTCATTGCACTTCCCTCCCATCGTCCTGCTACTTTATATCGCAGTTCTCCCCGCAGCTGCTCGCCATCAACGCGTCGACGATCTCCTCCACAGCCGCTGCCTTCCTCGCACCAGTACGTCCACGCATTGTCGTGTAGCAGGTGCAAATCGATTGTCAAAAGAGCTCGGCAACATTCAGGAACTCAGCTACTGACCAGGCAGTCGGAACTGTTCACTTCAGTTCTTTCAGGGAGACGAGCTTCAGAGAGATCAAAGTCATGTTCTAGCCGAATCTTTTAACTTGTGCACGCGAAACAGCTTGAGAAAATCAAGCTCACTTACCGCTCAAGGCCACTCGATCGTCGTCGCCAGCATCCCCAGGTTTCGTTTCTTTCGCCGTGTCTCGCCATAACTGCCGGGACTTCCTGCTTCCTACTTTGGATTGTTCAAAACGGAACGAAACGCCAGGAGACGCGTGAACATTTTCAGTGTAGTATGTCATTATTAGTGCCCCGGCATGAGTTGCCACCTCATCAGTTTCCACTGTCCTTGAAACGTGTGTTCTGACTTGACCCGCTTGCGTGGTCAAATTTCTATCCTCCTGCACCGAGCAGAACCGCACACTCGTCGCATTGCCTTCTCCCCCCGGCACCCTTAACCCTCTCCGCGCAGCTCGTGGTCCTGGCAGCGCCAGCGGTGGCGGCGGAGGCGGTGGGGCAGACGGACGAGCAGTTCGTGGAGTCGCTCATCTACTGGGGCATCACCGCCGTCATCTACCTCTTCGTTGCGCCCGTGAGTGCTGCAGCGCTGGTATGTGGTGGCGCTGCAGCGCTGGTAGGAGTTTCTGCATTGGTTAGTGCTGCTGCCCTGCTCCCTGCCTGGTAGGTGCTGCTGCATTGGTAGGCGCTGCATTGGACGAGCAGTTGGTGGGGTGGAGTCGCTCATCTATTGGGGCATCACCGCCGCCATCTACCTCTTCGTTGCACCCGTAAGTGCTGCTGCGTGCTGCTGCGACGTTGGCTGGTGTGTGCTGCCGAGCTGGTAAGTAGTGCTGTATTGGTTGCTGCTGCTGTATCGGACAGCAGTTTAAGGTGAAGCTTTTTCGTTGGGACAACATCTTCGCCGCCCGCCTCTTCCCCCCGCCCACCGTCTCCCCCTCCTACCTCCCCACCCATCCTCTCTGACCGCCCATGTGCAGCCACTGGTGTACGGGTATCTGCGCCTGCGGTGGTTCAACCGCTCCACCATTGAGACGTTCTTCCAGTACTACCTCATGCTCTCCTCTCTCTCCTCTTCCCCCACTCCCCCCTCTCACCGCTCCCCCACCAGCCACTGGTGTACGGCTACCTGCGCCTGCGGTGGTTCAACCGCTCCACCATTGAGACGTTCTACCAGTACTACCTCATGTTCGCCTTCTTCCCTCCTTCACCCCTCCCCATACCCCCGCCCCCTTCCCTCCCCCACCAGCCACTGGTGTACGGCTACCTGCGCCTGCGGTGGTTCAACCGCTCCACCATTGAGACGTTCTTCCAGTACTACCTCATGTTCGCCTTCTTCCCCGCGTGAGTCCTCTGCTCGCCGTTTGAGCCGCCTCAAAAGTCGCCTCTAAATGGTTTAGGCGCCTTGAAAGAATCCTTCCAGTATTACCTCGTGTTGTTCTTCTTCCCCATGTGGGACCCATTCACGCCTTGTTCTGGTAGTTAAGTACGGCTTGCCGTGGCCATGTTATTTCAGTCCATCAATAGCATATTCACTCGCTCCCACTGCATGCATACCCATTCTCACTAACATTGCCAATGCACCAGCACAAACCACCCCCCTCCTCTTCCTCCTCCCCCTCCTGGAGTGCTATCCTTGTTCTTCATAAACTTCAGGCGCCTTCCCCGTTACCCTCTGCCAATGTCCCCCTTCCCCACCCTGCGCTGGCAGCATGCTGCTGTGGTCGCCATTCATTAACTTCAGGCGCCTCCCCCGCAAGGAGCTCTGAGCATCCGCTGCCACCCGCTCCCATGCCTTGTTGCTTCAAATGCTCATCTAAAACGGTTTCGCAACTCATTCAGCAGGCCAGCAAGTCATGCAACGAGGCAGACAGGCAGACAAGCAGATTTTCTTTTGTCAGCATGCCACAGTGGTTTGTCTCCGTCAGTTTTATAGCAACATATGGCCAGACTGCTGACTTGTGTGCTGTTACACAGGGTGCTATATGGAGTATTGGCCAAGCACATTGCCATAAGCCTGGGCACACATTACTCTAGCTCAGAAAGTGAAACGGCTGGATATTACCATTGCTCGGTCATTTCTTTCATATATACCGGTAGGTAACTCTTATGGTGCATTGTTACAGTACTGTTGCACTTAATTCATATCTCACTGTTGACAAGTACTTACAGGAGGATAAAATATCAGCACAATGAGCTAGGCCCAATGACGAGGCTAAAGCAGCTACCTTTTCTGACTTGCTGCTCCACACTGCCCTGTTGACTCTCTAGCCTACAGAGTGGCAAATCAAGGTGGCAAAACCTACAGATTCTAACATGGAATGCACTGCACGAAGCTACTGTTACGCTCCATGAAGAGCCTTGCACTGCTGCTACAGTTCTCTCTAATTTGGAAGCTGGTACCCTAGGAGCTGCTGCCTGCTACACTATTACTCTTCCTGGGAGCTGCTGCCCCCCAATGCGCCCACTTTGGCCTTGAGCTCCTGTGTACATCACACGACAGGGGATTGAACCAGGCCATGCAGCCCGGGAGAGAGTCAGGATGCAGGGATTGAGTCAGCAGGAAACGAGAGAGTTTGTGGGTTTGTAGAGAGGTCTGCGAAGGTGGGGTAAAAGAAGAGGCACCTGGCGATAGTTGCGGCCGACGGATGGAATAGGAGAGGGTGTGCGGCAAAGGAAAGCAGGGGGATGGGTGGCTAAGCACCAATGGTTTGACCCTCACTCCACTCACCGATACTTTGCTCTCGAGGCCGCGCAGGTAGCGGATGGCCTGAGCCAACACTGTGGCGGCGTCTGTCTTGGTGGATGCGGGAACCAGCACCACACACTCCCTTTCCCTACCACACCCTCACACTGCTGAAACTCACAGCCACTTGGCTTTCAAGCCCGCGCAGGCAGCGGATGGTCTGAGCCAGCACAATGGAGTCATCTGTCTTGGTGGATTCGGGCACCAGCACCACACTGCCTTTCCCCTTTCCCTACCACACCCTCACACTGCTGAAACTCACAGCAACTTGGCTCTCGAGGCCGCGCAGGTAGCGGATGGTCTGAGCCAGCACAGTGCCAAGCTCATGCCACTCACTCACTCCCACACTCATTCACACACGTTCATCCACTCACCGCGACTTGGCTCTCGAGGCCGCGCAGGTAGCGGATGGTCTGAGCCAGCACAGTGGCGGCGTCTGTCTTGGCGGATGAAGGCACCAGCAGCATACCCTCACACTGCCATTCACTAGCAGCATACCCTCACACTGCCATTCACTAGCAGCGCACACTCACACTGCCATGCACAACCCAAAGACTGTCAACTCACCGCGACTTGGCTCTCGAGGCCGCGCAGGTAGCGGATGGTCTGAGGCAGCACAGTGGCGGCATCTGTCTTGGCTGTAAGGCACAGAACCCTGAACACCTCGTCCTGTCTTTCACGCACAGCACACCTCACACTTCTTTTCTCTTCCACTCACCGCAACTTGACTTTCGAGGCCACGCAGGTAGCGGATGGTCTGAGCCAGCACCGTGGCGGCATCTGTCTTGGCGGATGAGGGCACCAGCAGCATACCCTCACACTGCCATGCACAACCCAAAGACTGTCAACTCACAGCGACTTGGCTCTCGAGGCCGCGCAGGTATCGGATGGTCTGAGCCAACACAGTGGCGGCGTCTGTCTTGGTGGACGAGGGCACCAGCCCCTGCAGCGTGCGGATGTGCCGCGATATGCGATCCCTCCGCTTCTGCACGTTTTATCAAGTGAGGGGAAGGGTGGGCGGCAAGCAGAGCAGTGGGGAGAAGGGTGAGGGTGAGACAGTGCAGTGAATAGAAGAGCGCATGAGGCTGGGGCAGTGGCGGCATCTATGTTGGTGGAAGCAGGTACCAGCCCGGTACAAACCTTAAACCCGAAACCCTAATCCTTAAAACCCTGAAACCCTCCGCTTCTGCAGGGTTGAGCACAATGGTGGGGGAATGAGGGGGTTGGGGGGGAGGGGAGAGGGGGCACTTTGAGACGCCCCCCTCAAAGCTTTCCCTCCTCAGGCCTGGCAAACCCACCCCTCTGATTTTTGCGTCGACTCAAAACGAGGTGACTTTAAGTCGACCCAAAAGTCAGTCGACTCAAAAGGTTTTTGAGTTGTCTCAGAAAGCCTGCAGCACTCACCCGGGCAGCAGCACACGGCTTGGTGACCGCCCCACTCTTCCTCCTCGGGCCCGGCTTCCCCACCCCTCTCAGCCCCAGGTCTTCCCCACCCTCCTCCTCCCCCTCTCCCCAACTCGCCCCCTGCACTTACCCGAGCAGCAGCACACGGCTTGGTGACCGCCCCACTCTTCCTCCTCGGACCCGGCTTCCCCACCCCTCGCAGCCCCAAATCCTCCCCACCCTCCTCCTCCTCCCCCTCCCCTCGCTCTGAATCGCCCGTGCTGTCCTCCCCATCCTCCTCCAAACCTGACCCGGACCAGCCCCCTCCTCCTCTCCCTGCGCCAGACCTCCCTTTTACCACGTTACGACTACCACCACCACTACCACCAGCACCACCTAAAGGTGCTCCTGCTGCTGCTGCTGCTGCTGCTTCTGCTGCCGTTGCTGCTGCTGCTGCTGCTCCCACAGTTTCCGTTGCCGGTTCAGGTGCAGTGGCTGCCACATTTGCCATTCCTGCCCCCCCTGCCCTTGCCACCACTACCCCACCTGCCGCTGCTCCAGAAGCAACAGCAGCAGCAGCTGCTGCAGCAGTAATACCAGCAGAAGCAGCAGCAGCAGTGGCACCACCAGAAGCAGCAGCGACAGCGGCAGCAGCAGGAGAAGCAGGAGACGTGCCCCACGCGCTGCCTCGTCCAAACGGCGCACCCACATGGGCAGCAGCAGCGGCTCTGATACCGTTGGTGGTGGCAGTGGTGGTTGTGAGTGAGTTGCTACTCAGGGATTGTCTCACGGCGCTTCCTGCCTGCTGCTGCTGCTGCTGGTTGGGCTGGTGTTGTTGGTGAGAGCTGGTAGACTGAGACGGGCCTCTAATCACCTGCTGCTGCTGCTGCTGCTGCTGCTGCTGCTGCTGCTGCTGCTGCTGCTGCTGCTGCTGCTGCTGCTGCTGCTGCTGCTGCTGCTGCTGCTGCTGCTGCTGCTGCTGCTGCTGCTGCTGCTGCTGCTGCTGCTGCTGCTGCTGCTGCTGCTGCTGCTGCTGCTGCTGCTGCTGCTGCTGCTGCTGCTGCTGCTGCTGCTGCTGCTGCTGCTGCTGCTGCTGCTGCTGCTGCTGCTGCTGCTGCTGCTGCTGCTGCTGCTGCTGCTGCTGCTGCTGCTGCTGCTGCTGCTGCTGCTGCTGCTGCTGCTGCTGCTGCTGCTGCTGCTGCTGCTGCTGCTGCTGCTGCTGCTGCTGCTGCTGCTGCTGCTGCTGCTGCTGCTGCTGCTGCTGCTGCTGCTGCTGCTGCTGCTGCTGCCGCAACTCAAGCAGCAGTTGCTGCTGTTGCAGAAGGTCCAATGGCTGCTGCGACTGCTGTTGTTCCTGCTGTCGCTGCTGCAGCTGCTGCGGCTGTTGTTGCTGCTGCTGCTGCTGTTGCTCCTGCTGTTGCTGCAACTGTTGCACCTGCTGTTGCTGCAACTGTTGCAGCAGCTGGTGCTGCTGCTGTTGCCCCTGCTGTTGCTGCTGTTGTTGCCCCTGCTGTTGCTGCAACTGTTGCAGCAGCTGCTGTTGCTGCTGTTGTTGTTGCTGCTGCTGCTGTTGTTGTTGTTGCTGCTGCTGCTGCTGCTGTTGCTGTTGCTGTTGCTGCTGCTGCTGCTGCTGCTGCAACTGTTGCAGCAGCTGCTGCTGCTGTTGCTGCTGCTGCTGCTGTTGCTGCTGCTGTTGCTGCTGCTGTTGCAGCTGCTGCTGCTCCAACTGCTGCAACTGCTGCTTAAGAAACTGTTTTTGCAGCATCAGCAGCGCATGCATGGAACTGCCCTGATTCAACTCGCTCAAACCAGCTGCACTGATCAAACCACCATCACCCGCACCAGAAACAGCACCACCACCTGAACCAGCACCAGCACCAGCACCAAAGCTATCAGTGGCAGCAGCAGAAGCATAAGCAGAAGCAGCATAAGCAGAAGCAGCATAAGCAGAAGCACCGAGCCCAGGTCGAGCAGAGAGCTGTGCTTGAGACACTGAGGCAGGGAAAGCAGCAGCCGGAGAAGTAACAGCAGCAGCAGCAGTAGCAGCAGCAGTAGCACCGGTGACAGCGGCAGTATTCCCAAGGAGAATACTTGCAACCCCTGTCCGATAGTCCATGACAGGCATCACAGCACCAGGGGCAGCGGCAGCAGCCGCAGCAGCAGCAGCAGTAGGAGCAGAAGGAGCAGGAGCAGGAGCAGGGGCAGCGGGAGTACGACCAGGAGCAGATGAAGTGTGTGGGAGGAGAGGGAGGGTGCGGTGGAGAGGGAGAGGGGAGGGGGAGCGCGAGGTGGGAGTGGGGCCTCTAGCCCCTCTTTGCACTGCAGTGCCTGCAGCAGTAGGTGGGGCAACGGCTGGATTAAGCCCAGTGGAACTCAATCCAACGGCTGGATTGAGCCCAGCAGAGCATGTGGCAGCACTGCTGGCAGCAGCAGCAGCAGCAGCAGCAACAGCACTCCCAGTGAGGCCCATAGCAGCAGCACTCCCAGTGAGGCCCATAGCAGCAGCACTCCCAGTGAGGCCCATAGCAGCAGCGCTCTCAGTGAGGCTCAATGGAAGCTTCCCCCCACTGCCCCCTCCCAACACACTCGCCAGCAGTGCTGCCAACGCCCCTCCTTCCACTGTACCCGCTCCCCCCAGACTCCCCCCCACAAGCCGCAGTAATGCCGCTCCCATATCTCCATCCCCCAAGCCCAATGCCCCCCCAATCCCTTCCCCCATCCCCATTGCGCCCCCTACCCTTTCCCCCATCCCCTGTGCGCCCTGTACCCCTTCCCCCACGCCCACTGGCCCTCCTCCCCCTCCCCCACCCGCTGCATTGTCCCCCATGCTCATGCCCAGCGTTCCTATCTGTGGTCCAGGGCTCAGCCGCACTTGGTTCAGATCAATTCCCCCTTGTACCCCTCCGTGCACTCCCTTATCCACGTGCACCCCTCCCCACACCTCGCTACCCACCCCTACCACGGCCCCAGTCAACCCCAGCCTCCTGCTTTCTCCATCTGTCAACCCGCCTTCTGAACCTATGGATCGAGACTGAGGAAAACGCATGGTCGCACCCCAACTAGCAGCAGCACCAGCAGCACCAGCAGCAACAGGGGAAACATCCGTAGGAGCAGCAGCAGCAGCAGGCAAGCCGTTTCCCACCTCCATCCCTCCCCACAGGTCCCTACCAGCCCCTCCCACCCTCCCGCTTTCTCCACCTGCCAACCCGCCTTCTGAACCTATGGAGCGAGACTGAGGGAAACGCTCCGTTGCACCATCAACACCAGCAGCACCAGCTGATCGAGTCAGAGGGAAATGCATACTCGCACCACCACCACCACCACCACCAGCAGCAGCAGCAGCAGCACCAGCAGCACCAGCACCACCAGTGGAACGAGACCGAGGGAAATACATAGCCGCACCACCACTGGTACCAACAGCACCAGCGGCAACACCAGCAGCAGCAGCAGCAGAAGCAGCAGCAGCAGCAGCACCACCACCACCACCACCAGAAGCACCAGCGGCACCACCAGCAGCACCATCAGCAGCAGCAGCGGCGGCGGCGGCAGCGGCAGCAGCAGCCCTAGGGCTAGGGAGTGGGCTAGGGGACGGGCTGGGAAACAGCTTGAGACGCTTCGATGGGTGCACATGGGGGGCATGGGCGTGGGAGGTATGAGTGTGGGATGGATGGGCGTGAGAGGCTTGCGTGTCTTGCAGGGGAAGGGCGGCGGAAGGGAGATGCCTGGTAACAGAGGTGAGAGGGAGTGTGTTACATGGGGTGGAGGACGTGGGGGAGAGAGACGCGGAGACAGAGGGGGAGGGGTGGCGAGGGGCGGGGGAGAGGGAGGCGCGGGGGGGAGCTGGTGAGAGGGAGTGGCGGAGAGGCACGGGGGAGAGCGGGGGGCTGGGGTGCAAGGGGGAGTGCATGGGGGAGTGGTCGGGGGGGAGGATGAGCCTGGGGGGGCGCATGCGGAGGGAGAGGGGGAGGGAGGGCAGGAGGGAGGCGGGAGGGGGATTGGGGCTGCGACTTTGCTTGGTGGTGAAGGTGAAGGGGGGATCGGGTGTCCTGCTGGTCGCAGCAGCTGTGCTGGTGTCAGCAGCAGCAGCAGGAGGAGGAGAGGCGTTGAATGCTGCTGCTGCTGCTGCTGCTGCTGCTGCTGCTGCTGCTGCTGCTGCTGCTGCTGCTGCTGCAGCTGCTGCTGTGGCCATGCTGGTGTGTGGATCAGACCCAGCAGCTGTAGCAGGGGAAGCTGTAGCAGGGGCGAATGCAGGAGCGGTGGCAGCAACAGCTGTAGCAGCAGTGCCGGCAGCAGCAGCAGCAGCAGAAACAGCAGGAGCAGAAACAGGGGGTTCGAACGCAACACGCCTGAGGGGGTTCACAACAGCATCAAGGCATGAGCTGTCAGTACGAACTATCCCCTCCCCCATGTCCCCATGCATGCCCATGCCTATACCCATACCCATACCCATGCCCATGCCCATACCCATGCCTGTGCCTGTGCTCACACCCACACCACCAGCCTTGCTCCCATCGTACAACCCCCCTTCCTTGCTCGTGTTCCCCATGATGTATGAAGAAGGGTTTTGAGACGTCTCAAAACCCTTCTTCATACACGCAGCCTTGCTCCCATCGTACAACCCCCCTTCCTTGCTCGTATTCCCCATGATGTATGAAGAAGGGTTTTGAGACGTCTCAAAACCCTTCTTCATACACGCAGCCTTGCTCCCATCGTACAACCCCCCTTCCTTGCTCCCATCGTACAACCCCCCTTCCTTGCTCGTATTCCCCATGATTCGCCGCCACGCCGCGCCTATGCTCCCACTGCCATCCACGCCAGCACCAGTGCGGGCCAAGGCAGCACCAGTGCCGCCCATCCCCATGCCACTGCCGCCCATCCCCATGCCACTGCCGCCCATCCCCATGCCACTGCCGCCCATCCCCATGCCACTGAAGCCCATTTCGCTTCCGCTATGCCCAGCAGCCCCCCCACCACCACCAAGCTCTCCCCCTTCCGCCCCACTCCCGCCCTTCCCCCTCCCCCATCCGCCTTCTCCCCCTCCCTCTTCTCGCTCCCCCTTCCCCTGCTCCGCCCCATGCTCCCCCGATCCCTTTCCCCCTGCAATAGCGCCTTCCCCTGCTTCCCCTGCCTCCCCTTCTTCCCCCCACTCCGCCCCTCCCCCCAGTGCGCCCCTTCCCCCCACCTTTTCCGGCAACCGTTCCGCACAGCTGATAGACATCTGCCGTCCCAAACCACTGGGCCCCCGAACCAGACCGCCAGGTCCGGCGACAGTGGCCCCCGAGCCTGCCGAATCAGTAGGCCCAAAAAAACTGAATTCGTACGAGTCAAAACGGAAGATAGAGCGGGGAGCAGAGGGCACAAAATGCAGGTCTAGAGACCTCAAATCCCCCTCCCCCTCCCCTTCCCCTCCTCCCGCTCTCTCTCCACCCTCTCCCGTTTCTCTGCCCTCCTCCCCGCTGCTCCCTCCCTTTCCCCCTTCCCTGCGCACCACACCCCCTTGCACCTGCGCCCCTGCCATGCTTGCACGTCCGCCTTCCCCCTCCCCCACAGCAGAAGCCTCCCCTTTTGCCACGAGCGGTGCGGCAAAAGCTTGCTGCCCCACCTGCCCCTTCTGCTCCGCTTCTCCTGCGTCAGCAGCACCAGCAGCAGCGGTGGCAGCTGGGCCAGCGGCAAGAGCAGCAGCAGAATCAGCAGCAGTGTCAGCAACAGCAGCAGAAGGAGCATCAGCGTCTTGCTGCTGCAGCAGCGCTGTCACTGGCTGGTGCCGCTGCAGGGAGGGCTTGCGATGCAGAAGTGAGAGCTCGTGACGCAAGGAGGAATCCCGGTGCAGGGATAACTCACGGGATAACTCACGGTGCAGAGGGGAATCCCGGTGCAGGGATAACTCCCGGAGGAGGGAAGAACCGCGCTGGAGAGATAACTCGCGGTGAAGCGGTGAAGAGCGGTGCAGGGATAGCTCCCTGTGCAGGGGCGAATTGCGGTGCAGGGATAATTCACGGTGAAGGGGGGAGCTGCGGTGGAGGGATGGGGTGCGATGGAGGGAAGGGGTGCGGTGGAGAGGTGGATTGGGGGGTGGGGGAGGCGAAGACCAGGAAGTGAGAAGCTGCAGTGACTTTATGCTGCTAGTACACCTCTCACTCTTCCCCTCTCCTCCCTCCTCTCCTCCTCTTCCCTCCTCCCCTCCTCCTCCCCCTCCTCCTACACCTTCTCCCTCTGCTGCCTTTCCTTTATCCCCCGTTTCCCCTTCTCCTACCATTGCTCCTTCCGCCCTCCCCGCGCCCCCCTCTTCAGCTCCCCCTTCCGCCCCTTCCCTCCCCACATGCCCGTCGGTTCCCCCCGTCGCTTCCCCCGCCAACCCGCCCCGCGCCTGCGCCTGCGCGGAAATCCGTTCCGCGAATAGCAGAGGTTCTTCCGCCTCCGCCTGGCGCGCCAGTTGCGCCGCCGCGGATGCGCTACTCGGCGCGGAGGTCCCCCCGGCGGAACCTGGGGAACCGGCGGGAGGGGAGGGGATGGGAGGGCGTGGGGAGAGAGGGGGAGGGCGACGGGAAAGAGGGGTGGGGAAACAGTTGCGCAACGGAAGCTGCGGAGGAAGGATGGGCGGGACGTGCGGGGGTACGAGGAGGGAAGGAAAGCGCAGAAGGATGATACCGGGGGGGGCAGGGGGCGGGGGACAGGGACGCGAGAGGAGACGGGGGCGGGGGCAGGGGCGGCGACGGGGGAGGTGTCGGAACAAACGGGGGGATCGGCGGGGAGGAAACCTTACCGTTGAGGGACCGAAGGGAGGGCGAGCCGTGACTGGGCGGCGGCGGGAAGAGAATGTACGACGCGAGCTCGACGGCGTGCGCGTCCATCGATATTGACGGGTACAGCGGCGCGAGCATCGGCGCGCTCGTCGCCATGCCGCCGCCCGCCATCCCCGCCGCCGCCGCGTCCCGCGCGCCCGACTCCTCCGCCTCCCAGTGCGGCACCCCCGACGACTGCGACAGCATTTCTACCGCGCGACCGTTCCGCTTACTAGCTTCCTTATTCCTACTCCGCCTCCTCTTCCGCCTTCTCTTCCGCCGCCTCTTCCGCCTTCTCTTCCGCCTCCTCTTCCGCTTCCTCTTCCGCCTTCCCTTCCGCGTGCTCTTCCGCCACAGCTTGCAAACCCGTTCTCTCGCTCCGCGCCACTCAGGCCCACCTGCGCTTTTCCTCCGTTCACGGCTCCGCTGACTGAAGTCAACCTAACGAGTCAATCCTGAGGCGCCACAGGAGTAGACAGCACCTCGCGTTGACTACAGTCAACCTACAGAAGTTCGCCCTTTAATGCGCATAGAATTTCGAGTGTAAACAAGCGCGAATTGCCTACTACGTAGCGTGTCCCGGATCACTGTAGACATACGCGTTGCAAGATGCCTCCTTGCGAGAGACAAGCTGTCGGGGAATGCATTCCACGATGGTGGAGGACAGCTTCTGCCACGCCTCAAAAGACGGATAAAAACGCTAACTTTAGCAAAGCACCTGACGTGAGCACGTCTCAGCTCCTAGCAATGCGGAGCGCGGCGGGACGCGACGCACATAGCGGGCGAGACGCTATTAAATTAGCGGCAAGGCGAGTGGGATAACCAGCGTGTGCGCATAATTAGGCTGCTCAGTAGAGTGAGTATAGCGAGCGGCGTGAGGAGGAACAGCTGGCAGTGCTGCATGCGGCTTGGGGGAAAGAGGGAGGCGCTGCTGTGAGAAGGGACAAAGGGGAAGGCGGTCTTGTGTGTGGATTGCAACTGCGGAACAGCATTGCGGCCCCTCGCGATTACAGTACGTACACATGCACAGTGTCGTTTGCGCGTGTCACGAGCGTCTTCACGCGGAAACTCAAAATGCACAGTGCGCAGAGAAAGCGAAGCAAATACACGCAGTCTAAAAGCATATAATATGTAAAACGGAAATATAACACATTGACAGATATGTATGGGTAGCAGCCACAGGGAGCCTAATGAATATCGTCCAGCAACACTCGCCCTGACACCACATCCAACAATTCTTGATTGGCCTTCTCAGCCTCACCGAACCCCCAACATCTACACAACCAACCCAACCATTCGTCCCCAAATCGTGCATCACCCCTCTGCACCTCACCGCACCAAACCCGCCCGCTTTGCTTCCGAGCCCGAGCCTCAGCCTCGGCCAAACCTCTAGGTTGGGGCCAAGGCTTCCAGAAGCACGCAAACTGCGCATGATGCACGGACGAGTACACAGCAACCTTTGCTCGACCTCCCACACGTTGCAATGCTTGCTCTAGTGCGAGGCTGCAGTGAGGGGGAGCATATGCATCTCCCGGACTGCACTGAAACAGCATGGGGGGAAGGAAGTCAGCGAGATTTATACTCCCTTCCATGATGCCTGATATGATTCTTTCGCCAGTCTGCCGCCCGAATTCAGAGAAGAAAAGAGACAAGGCTGCATCAGATGAAGGTGCATCTCCACTCTCAACCCCTCCTGTAGCTGTGGCATGCGTTTCCAGACCTCCTGCTGCTACAGCTTCGGCCAGTGCTGAGAACAGGTTGGGAGGGGAGCCTCGGGCAAAGGCCTCCGGGCCTCCGACAGCTTCGGCGAAACAGGTGAGAGGGGACGTGCCGGTGGTGACTGTATAAGTGTGCATGTATTGAAGGTCGAAGATGCCACTCAGTGCTATCACACAGTAGGGCTGGCGGGTATCCGTTGCTGCACTGTGCCCTTCAAACTGATGCTGTTGATGCTGCAGCTGTTGCAGCCACTGATAATTATTACTATTTTTATTATGGTTCTGATGCTGTGAATAATCAGCCTCCCACTCGTCATCTCCGATCCCACTGCCCCTTCCCTTCTCACCTCCCACCGTCCCTCCCGCTCCTTGCCTCCCTCCCCCTTCACCCCGCGCGGTCCTGCCTGCTGCCTCTGCTGCACCCAACAGGCCTTCCTTAAAGCGGCGCCACATCAGCATGGCCACTGTGTGCGACCCTGCGAGTCAACAGAAGTCAATAAGAGTCAATGGGGGTCAATGCGAGTCAATGGGAGTCAATGGGAGTCAATGGAGTTGAAGGGGCCCCCTGCTGCCCGCAGCAGGCTTTCCTTGAAGCGGCGCCACATCAGCATGGCCACTGTGTGCGACCTTGTGAGTCAACGGAAGTCAATACAAGTCAATGGGGTTCAGAAAGGGCTTGGAGCCAACGGAGGTCAATGGGGGTCGTTTAGTGTCAAAGGAAATCAGAGGGGGTCAACCAGAGTCAAACGAGGTCAACGCAATGAAAGGGGTATTAATGGGCGTCAGAAGGGGTTAATGGGAGTCTCGACGGACGACTGGGAGTCAAGAAGGGGTTAACGGGCGCACCAGAGGAGTGGCCGCACAGAAAGACAGGCGTGGGGTCGTCGCCGCCATAGGCATGGATGTTATCACACACCCATGAGAGCGCGCGACAAGACACAGTTCTACAGATGAAGGAAAGCACAAGAGGCGAACCGGAGGAGTGGCCGCACAGCAAGACGCGTGTGGGGTCGCCACCATAGGCATAAATGTTGTCAAGCACCCATGAGAGCGCCGCACTCGCCTCCTCCTGCTGCCCCTCTGCCAGTAGCTGGCGGGATTGGAATGACATGAAAGAAGTATCTATAAATATACAAACATATATATATATACATACATATATATATATTATAATTGGCTCAATTATTGGCGTGATTGCTCTCCACTGCAACCCCCCCATGAGAGATGCAAAACCATAACTTACCTTGGGGTAAAGGGTGTATTGAATAACAACGGCAATTGCCCCTTCAGCAGCACATCTGGCAGCAAGGGGAGCGTACAGCCACTTATCACCGCTCACCCAACAACCCCCATGCACAAACACCACCACCCTGCACGCGTCACTCCTGCTGCTGCTGCTACTGCTTTTGGTAATGCTGTTGCTGCCGCTAATGCTGCTGTTTTCGCGGACAGAGGCAGTGGTGTTGTCGTGCTGGGGATGACGGCCGTGAGGATGATGGTGGTGGTGATTGCGACGATGGTGGAAACCGGGCAGATAAATATCCATTCTGGATGAAAAGATGGGGCGCATTCAGAAAGAAGAAATGGTGGAGAAGAAGGCAAAAGAGGGCGTCGGAGGGAGGTAGGGGGAATGAAGAGGGTAGAAGAAGGGGGTGGGTGGGGAGGAGGGGCGGGAAGGGAGGGTGGGGGGTGGGGGTGTGGGGGTGGAAGGGGGGGAAGAAGGGCGGGAGGAGAGCGGGTCCGGGGTAGCAACTGAAGCAGACAGTAGTATGAGAAAGGCTCTGGGCGGCAACCAAAAACTTTTTTTCCTTCAAAATAACAGAGCACACATGTCTGGGGGCAGGCAGACTGCCACATCAGCACGCGTCCTCCATATACACCCAGAAAAACCACCCAGAAAAACCACCCAGAAAAACCACCCAGAAAAACCACCCAGAAAAAACACCCAGAAAAAAACACCCATAAAGAATAATCACAACGCGACGCGCCATGTTTCCTGCCCTTACAGTCACATCGGATGAGTACACCCTCGTTTTCAGTCACTTACATGTTGCGCGATCGATGCCCGTATCTGACGTCAGCAACCACGTGAACTCGAGCCAACCGGAGAAGAGAACGAAAGGCGGACATTTGGGGGTTCAGCCGGCGCCAAAACGCGCCGCGGGATTTCACGAACTGATTCAGCCGCTGCAATCCCGCCGCAATCCGCGCAACCGTCGCTACGACGAGGCATCGACATCGACGAGGAACCACGCGGCGGGAAATGCGGCGCCATATTCGGGATAAACGGCGGAGGGAAGCGCGGGAGCGGGAAGCGAGGCGCAGGAAGGAGTAGAGGAGGAGCGCAAACGCGCCGCAGGGGAGGGTCGAAACGACGCCGGCGAGCTCGGCCAATAGGACGAGAGATAGACGCGACGCGACGGAAATCTTTTGAATAACCGTCGTTTGCCGGGCTACCTCCCTAAACGCCCCGCTGAAGGCCCCTTTTAGTAGCTGTCCTAACACCATTTGATTTGGGTTTGGTCCTAAACGGTATTTGAATGGTGCTTTCTTGTCGTGGAGTTGGTAAGGGGCGAATTGGGAGATTGGGGCTTCACGAATCATGTGTCAGAACGGAAGATACAATCAGCTTCGGGACAACTACTGCACCGCAATGAACTGTAGTATATCGCAGAATGATGCTTTACAACATCCAGAATGAAGATGCAAAAATCTTAATCAAGGTTACAAAAAGTTTGGAACTCCTTTCATTCTCCGGCTGGACATCTGAATCTACCTTAGATTATACTACCAAGCAATCAGATGAACCTACTAGATCAAACAGACTGAATGTACATACAAGTAACGTGATAAATACATGGAGCGAAGTGAATTCAGAATTTTCCTCACAATCTCAGCTCAAGATCCATCATTTTCATGTCAGCAGGTGATGCTGGTGGCTCGTCTGTGACCAGTGCTTCAGGCAGCCCAAGGCTAAGCAGCCTCCCATCTTCCCTCCAAGCTCCACGCGGCCTCTGCCTGGCCGCACCTGCACTCACACCTGCACTAGCATCCATACTAGCAAATGCACTTGTACCTGTATTAGCTAATGCATTTGCACCTGTATTAGCAAATGCAATCGCATCTGCATTAGCGAATGCACTTGCACCTGTATTGGCACCTGTATTAGCGAATGCAATATTACCTTCGTTACCAAATGCATTCGCACCTGTATTTGCAAATGCATTTGCACCTGGATTAGTGAATACACTACCACCTGCATTAGTGAACACATTTGCAGTCGCGCCTGCACTAGCGGACGATCCCCCACCTACTGCTGATACCCCTTCTCTCACTGCAGGGGAACCGTGTAAAGAATGTTGCTGGAAATGACTCTGTGGAGCATTGAAAGCGGAATGCGGTGTGACAGTGGGGACCGGGGCATGAATGAAATTCTGTTGCAGCAACTGCCCTGCCTGCTGCTGCTGGGAATGCTGCTGAAAGTGCTGCTGGTGGTGCAGATGCTGTTGCTGTTGCTGTGGCTGCTGCTGGTGCTGCTGTTGCTGTTGCTGTTGCTGTTGCTGTTGCTGTTGCTGTTGCTGTTGCTGTTGCTGTTGCTGTTGATGTTGCTGTTGTTGCTGCTGCTGCTGCTGCTGCTGTTGCTGATGCTGCTGTTGCTGTTGATGCTGCAAATGCTGCTGCAGCTGCAATAGAACTTGCTCCTGCTGCAGTTGCTGATGCTGTTGCAACAGAAGCTCGTGTTGCTGCTGCGCTGGTGTCCTTGCCACAGGGTCCCTGGGAGCTGATGATTGCTGCTGCAACTGCTGCACCTGCTGCGCTTGCTGCTGCATCTGCACCTGCTGCTGTTGCTGCTGCTGCTGCTGCTGCTGCTGCTGCTGCTGCTGCTGCTGCTGCTGCGTTGAGAACTTAGGGGATGGGGCACCAGAGGTGGAGGATGATCTGAAGAGGGCGCGGAGGCCGTCCGGTAGCTTCTGCACTTGAAACACATCTGAGCGGCGCGAAGGCCGATCACCCTGTGTCGTCAACAGCTGCTGCTGCTCTTGTGGTGGCTGCAGCTGGTACGGAGATTGCTGCAAATGCTGCGGCTGCTCCAACTGGCTCAGCTGCTGCTGTTGCTGCTGCTGCTGCTGCTGCTGCTGCTGCTGCTGCTGCTTCTGCAGCAGCGGCAGCTGTTGCTTCAGCAGAGACGCTAGCGCCCGCAGCTGCCCAAACCCAGCATTTCCGGAAGTTTTTGTCGGGCTGCCCTTCCTGCCGCTTCCGGCAGGTGCGGCCGGTTCTGCAACATTCAAGTCTGCCCGACCCAAGTCACCTGCCGGAACCGCTGACGATGACGCTGATCGCCTGTGGAATAGATGGTGGGTAGGCGAAGAAGCCGTCTGAGACTGTCGCAAAACCGTCGCCGTCCCAATGTTACCAACAGCGCTTGATGTAGAATTAACACCATCAGTATTTCTTACGTTGCTGCCTAGTATATCACCTGCTTGAGTGTAACTGGTCTGATTGGTGTTACAAACCCGAGCAGCCTCGGCAGCACCCTGCGTACCCTGAACCAAGGGATTTCCGCTCCCCGCACCGCCCTCCCCCATGAGAACGTCTTTCTGCTCAGCCACGAACCGGTCTGCCGAACCTGCTCCCGACGTGGAGCCTGGAACGCCTTGAGCTGCGGAAGTACCGAGAGATTGGTTGAGTGCGGCTGACCGCGCTGTCCCACCCGAACCGCGAGATCCGGACCTCCACCACGCCCCTGGTGAGTTGCGTGCTCCGCCTGACGTTCCCGACGCGATATTTCCCTTGGGCAGAGCACCTGCGCAAAAAAAAAAAAAAAAAAAAAAAACATCACAACAGGTGTCAACGAGAGTGATTATCTGTACCACCTTGCAAACCCTAAACGAAACGCAAATTTTCGTGCAAAAATGTCAGAGAAACTCAGTTCCCGCTTACACACCTTCTGTGGGCACGATCGCGCCAATAACGGTCGCTGCGGGTGCTTCCGCTGGGACCTCCGCTGGCGCGCGTCTTTCCGCCAGCGCCGAACCCGCTTCACCCTGACGCCTTCGCGCGACCGCATCCGAGGCGGTACTTCCTCCCAAGCCAGACCCACCCGAGCCCGCGGAACCCACGCCGCCCGCCGTGCTACCCGCCGCTGCAGCCGTTTTCGCTCCGCTAGCCCCGCTCCGATCCGCGCCACCCGCGTTCTTTCGACCAGAGTGCGGCTGCGGCGGGGGAACGGAGATATTTCTAGCGTCCGTGGCTGAACCCTGCTGCGCCGCCGCCGCCGCCGTCGTCGTCACCCGCGCGACTGCCGCTCCTCCGCCGAGCTCACCGCGCGGAGCTTCCGCACCCGGCGTGAGCGCTTGGAAGAGAGTCACGAGCTGCTGCTGATCCGGATGGCTGCCTCGCGCAGCGTGCGGCGCATCCGCCGCTGAGGCGGAAGGGGGAGAACGCTCGGGGGGGGTGGTAGAAGCGGCTGCGGCGGCGGTCCCCTTCGCTTGCCGCCTGTTGTTAACGGTCGCAGCGGTCGCGGCGGTCGCGGCGGCGGAAGACGAGCCTAGATCTTGCGAGGCGCCACCCGCGGAGGACGCGGGACCAGCGACGCAATCGGTTTCTTTCGTCTCGGAGCTCTCGCCGCTCATCGCGGATTCCTGAATCGGCTCCGACGGAATCCGCGTGCGCTTCCGCCCGTTCGGCGTTCCGCAAGACCAGTCCGCGGGTGGTGATGCCTCGTCTTCCCCCGTTCCTTGACTTGTTTGACTCATCGGACTCGCTTGACCGCTGGTCTTCCGCGCGGTGACTCTCCGCGGCTCCAGGGGCCCACTCACGACGCGCCGTCCTGTGCGTCGTCGCGGCGCCTCGAGCGGACCGCTAAGAACACGCCGTCCGTTTCCGCGTTTCGTGCGCCCACTGTTCGATACTGAAGACTCTATTACCGGGGATCCCGAATCCAGACGTTCCGAGATTCCGCTCGGAGGCGTTAGCGCTCCGGCGCCATGGATAAGAGGGGAGTTGGAATTAGAAAGGTGGGTCTCTTTCTGGTGCTCCTCCTGATAGTGCTCGTTAAGTGCGTTTAACGAGGGGAACTTCCCCGAGCACTCGCGACAACCGTAAGGGTTGTTCGTGGATGCGTGGAGGTTCGCGTTATTGGCGACACTCGGGCTGAGGAGAAGCAGTAAGTCGGTCGCAGAGAGATTTACAGTCTTGGCGGGAACTGCGGGAACAGAGGCTCTTTCCACGTTCTCAAACTGCTTTATTGCGGCGGCATCTACAGAGCAAAGAAGCGACGCTGACGTGTCTTTCGAAAGGGTTCTACGCGCCGCGTACACGCTGGACAGGGCTCCCGTCGAATCATCGTCAGCATGGTTACCGAACAGCGCGTTCGTAACGGACTTCCCGGCAGAGTACGACGTTCTGTGCGGCGGCCGGAGGGGGGCCGCCACAGGATGGTGATCCGTACTCGTCATCGAGAGATAAGCTGAGACTTCTTGGCACAAAAAATGATTCTAAGATGAAAGGTACTTTGGCTCTGTGAAGGATATAAGAATAGGGTTCCGATTACAGGTGAACACGCAGCTTTGCTTGGTTTCGGCGAGCCGAGCCTCTGTCTCCTAGACCTAGAGTAAGTTCGGGTCCGAATGTTGTGAGCTGGGTCCTCGAGGCGCTGCGACTGGGATTAGGTGGTGGTGGTGAGCTGTGGCATCCAAAGGGAATGTTGGTTGGGAGAAATGGGACGAAGGATGATGACGAGGAGCAGCAGATGAACATGAGGTGGAGGTGGGAAACGGAAAATGCTGTTGGGTTGGGGGTGGGAGGAGGGAGGGCGGTGGAAGTAACGAAACGAACCACCTGTTGTGCGAAACGCTTTTCTGCACAGCAGCACTCCTGCTGCCCAGAATACACTGTCTTCAGAGCAAGGGAGGTGTGACTCGCACTGGAGATGTGTGCGTGCATCGTGGGGCAGGGTCAGGGCAGGTCGGGGACTCCAACCAAACCACCCAGAGACCCAGTTTGGGTTTGGAAAATTCAGGAGTGAGGAGGAGGCCAGCACAAAGTTTGATGGGAATGGAGGATGCTCAAGTCTTCAGGGCTGACGTGGTTGGTGGGAGGGTGCGGTGGAGAGAACTAGCGACAAATCGTACGACGGAGAGGACGACAGGCATGCTGATGCCCCAAGAGCAGTCGTACTGTATCGTGGATCAGCAAGAAGAACAGCTTGGCATCACCTGTGTCAGTTCCAGATTCCTGCATGATTGGTTTCCTTTGGTTGTTTGTGATTGTGACAACGAGATTCTTGGTGCAAAAACATTCATTATTTATATTTTGTAGAGACGAGTCTCGGCTGACTGAGTTTCCTTCGTCCTGGAGCGGTTTTTTTTTTAGTTCTGTACATGGCGTCAAAATTCAAAATCTTCATTCTTTCTTGTCAAGCTGTTACCAAGGACGTGCATCGTTCACATTGGGAGGACCACCCCACCCCACTCCACACAGCTCCCTACTGTATCGCCCCATTCGCGAAAACGCCAAGCTTGAACTGCCAAAATCCAATGCTTCCAAGTTCCGGCTGTCGTTCTGTTCCGCACGATTCCCTCTCCGTTGGGTGTGTTGCACATGCATAGTGGCCTGGCCTCCTTTGAGAGGGGAGGGAACCGGAGAGGACTACAAATATTTTACTATAAAATTGGGTTGTTTAAAAGTAACTGCTATATCAGAGCCAGGTTACTTCGTACACACCTGTATGTAAGCATTTCCAAAGGAATGATTTACAGTTGAAAAACAAAATGAAAACAATAACAAGGTAAAGTGACATTTGCTCAGATGAGACGACCCAACCGAGGACGGTATTCACTGTAGTATTTTTTTGCCTCACACTTTCTATATTCAGGTTAGTTCAAAAGGCAGAGTTGGGTCTGCGAACAAACAAGATGCAACGAGTGTACAATGTGTGTTTGTGACAGCCTTGCGCCCACCCAGCCACATCACTTTCGTGCCCTTGGTCTTTTCTTTGTCATGTTTTGGACGGAGAGTGGTCACCAAGTCGGTGTGCAGAAGCCCACCATCCATGACGGGTCGTGTACAAGGGTCATTGACAGGCACGTCACAGTTAGAGGGTTACGAAATATAGTACCATGTCTACCCCTACGAGAAAAAAAAACATTACAGTTCGGTACTCTACATGCTCGAATACAGTTCTGTAAAATGTTTGGGGCAGGCTCAACTCAACTCGGTAGCCGAAAAACGAAAGGAACAGTGGCAGTACGTACTGTACAAGTCGGGTTTACTGTAGTAGATACACTTTAGGTACAAAGTGGTTACTGGGGAGAATCATAATTTGTGGCGAGGAAGTGCATACATTTTTTTTTTTTTTTCGCCACTAATCAGCTTCGTTACATTTCAACAAGCATACAGACATGCATAAACCCTTCCTAGAAGTGTCTTACTACCTCAAACATCAAAAGACCATCGCCAAAACCCGAAACAAAGTATTGCTTCCTAAGACATCTACAGCCGCATGTCGACCAAGTAGGGCACGTCCACCCATGGTGCTCCCTCTCCAAACTCCTGCTCCCCACCCCCTCGCTCCACCCACTCCGCCTCGGACTGACCCAACGTGTATGCCGTCCGCAAAAGAATCACCCGAGCCTGTGCCTTCTGCAAAGCTACCCCTACCGCGGCTGTCAAGGACCCCACCAAGTATTCTGAGAAACCCGAGCTGTTGCCCCTTCCCACACCTTTGTTAAGAGCCACCTTTACTTGAACCTCCCCCTGCTGCCGTAACCACTGTCGAAAGCTTCCCCCCAAGCAAAGGTTGATAATCCGTCGCCTTCCTCTTCTCTCGCTCCTTGGCAGCAAAACCTACTGTCCGCCCACACTGCCCATGCTGCTGCACCGGTAGCGAAACCGGATCCACGACGCTCACTTCGAGCGCATGTTTTTCCCCGTCCATTGGTTTCCTAACCGCCACATCCACTCTCTTCCCCGGCAGAAGCGTGTCATCCTCGATCGTAACCACCCCACCCGATGCCTTGGCTATCTTAGCAACAACGAGCTTCACTGCATCATGAACACGAGACGGGGCGTACTGGTACTTGCACCGAAGAGCATGGTGCGGATCTGACGGGTCCTTGAACTCCACACCGCAAACACACTTGCCAGCAACCAGAAGCTGGTGGACGGGAAGGCCCAAACGGATTGCCGCCGAAATGCCCCACTCCACAGGGGTGAAAGTTGCGTCATCATGCGCTGGAACTGCGGACACCCATGCTGCCGAACCCGGGCCCTGAAGGGAAGTCAAACGGGCCAAGGTAGCATCATCGCGGGCCATGCGCCGCAGAGACTGAAGACTTTCAACCGCCAAGCGACGCTGCTGCGCTGGGAAAAGCTGGAGGGGGGGATTTGTAGTGCAGAGCCCCAAACTCGGCAATTCTTGCCTGACAACAGGCGGGAGCTGGTCAAGGGCCTTGGTAAACCAAGGGTCCAGTAAATCCCCAGCCGGCGGAGTGCGGAAGAACTCACTGAACATCTGCTCCTCGCCCGCTACTCCCAGCTTGACAACAGCACTCGCAGCCTGGCACCACCCACAGACGTAAGAGAGAGGGCTAAGAGTTGCTGCTGAACGAATGCCAAACCCGCCCAAACGAGCCGGGAGGTGCAGCTGCAGGTGAGCCATGCGCGACCTATCAGGACTGAAGTCCCAAGTGTCTGGCGGGAAAAGTTGCTCAAAGCACTCTTCCAAAGCCCCATCCCAATCTCTGAAAGCGTCAAGAACCTCAGGACGAGGGGGAACAGTGCGAGTCAAGAAGAGCGGCCGCGCAGACACGGCAACAGCCAACAAGTGGGAGGCAATCTGGGGGTGGTTCAAAATAGGAAGCCAAGGTAGAGGTGATCGCAGCTGCAAAAGTCTCTCCCTCAAGCGCGCCACCTCCCAATCCTCCTCTCCAATAGGTACCCCCACCACTGTTAACCCCGTCCACGACTGCTGCATTCCCAGCGGAATATCCCCAGACGCTGCCGCCTCCCCTCTTTCCCACATCCTACACTTGTGCGATTGCACCTCCAAGCTCACCCACTCCAGTCGCTCCCGCAAGACATCGTACGCCGCCAACACCCGCTCCCGCGGGCCAAGAACGTAGGTGTCATCAGCGTAGCTCAAGAAAAGAAGATCAGGGAAATCCTTCATTGTAGGCCCCATAACCAACTGCTGCGTGAAAGCAAAAAGGAAGGGACCAAATGGATCCCCCTGTCGCGAACCCCGCTCGGACGCCAGCATCTCGACAAAGGGGCCTGTGCGAAGGTACAGACCGCTGGGCACCCCATAAAAGACGCGTAAGAAAGGGATAAGGCCAGCAAAAGGAGAATCGCGGAGGCCGTCGAACATCACGTGCCGATGGAACGAGTTGAAGGCATTCGCTACATCGATCTGCAGCGCGCACCACGTCGGATGAACCGCTACAGCCGAGCGGAAAGCATGCGCCAGAATCTCCACCCCCGACTTAGTCCCCACCCCTAGTTGGTTACAAGGAGCGAAGTAGGTCTCCATGTCGGGACGAAGAAGAACGCATAACGCACGCGCCAGAATCCGAGGGAGCACCTCTCCGATAGCCACTGGGCGGACGTCCCCGTTCGGCTTGGATAACCCAAC